AAAGGAAGAAAGAGGGAAAGAAACGAAAGAGAGAAGCGGGTAGAGTTTAGTTAAGAAGGTGGATAAAACTACAAAGTGAGGAGGAGGAGGACGACGATGATGATGAGGAAGAATAGGGAAGAAAGAAAGAGTTGTAGTAGGGTAGAGTGGTGTTGGTGGTGGAAGAAGAAGAAGAGAGGAGGACCAGACCACACGCAGTATTGGATGGGGCAGTCTACGACACAAGACAGGCACTTTCAGAAGAAACCCGCTCTGTAGGAAGTGCGCAGTGACTTGAGTGCCAGCTGCAGTGGTGACTGACTAACTGACTAACTGACTGATTGACTCTACCCGTACTAGGACTCTGGGAGTGTCTAGCGTGGTTGGATAAGAAGTAGCTTAGCAGAAAATGGATTTTTTTGAGTTAAAGGGCCATTTTTTTTTCAATCCACGCCAGCAGCGAGGGCGAAGCGTCGTCAGCCTTGAGCTCCTCGCCCCAATCAGGGCCCCGCGCCAGCACCGCAAGCCGCGTGTGTCCCTCCCCGAAACAGTTAACTGAACCATGGCCAAGACCCTCTTTGCTTCCGTCCGCATCTTTTGGGAGGGTTGGCAATACTGCCACGCATCCTCATCGTAGGTATCGTAGGGAAGGGTATGCTCTCGCTGCAAATTATTCTCCTTTTACTACCAATACCCCCTGTGGCAATAAGCCCTTGGCACAACCACTCCCACTGCCACCCTTCCTCCACTAATATTACCCCTACCAGTCGTCCTCTCGTCGCAGCAGCAACAGCAGCAGCAGCAGCAGAACTGCTGAAGCCATTGCCATCCTTTGCTTGATTGTTGATGCTTTTACGGGGTGCTTGCGAAATTGGATGTCTTGGCTCCACTCATTGCTTGCGATGCCTACATCGCATGGAACATTGGCAACAATTTAGTCTTTTGATGGGGTACAAAACCACTTGCTGATGCTTCTTTCCCAAAGCTTGGCTCTCTGCTCGCTTCTCCATTACTACAAGGAAGAGGGATTTTCTCTTCTTCACAAGACACGTCCACGCAAGCCTCCGATCACTGCTATACCTTGGATTCCGAAGGGCTTCATCATCCTCCTTGGGCGGCGAGACAAATGATTGCGACCATATGAGTATCTGGAAATTTTTTTTCTCCTCTCGTCGACGCGTCTGAACAAAATCTCCTAACAAGGCAATCCTCGAGCGCGACCGACCGCACTCCGGGTCCGCGCCATGGAGGATCTCGTTCGACGTCAGCCTGCCCGTCTTACGCGGCTCTCTGACCAACAGGCTAAAAAATGTCACCATCGGTCACTCTGTCATGCTTAGTGACCGTGCACAACGCACGTAGTGTCCACTTCATCTCCAGGCTACCGGATCAGCGATTTTTCTCTCCTTGCCCTCATCCTCCCTTCCTCCGAGAACGCATTTTCTAAAGCTTCAAGTAAGGGCATTTCGGAGAAAATGACAGCCTAATCGAAGAGCTTCATCGATCTCCGTCCCCAACTAGGCAATTAATTATCCATCGCGGCTTCAACCGCATAGCCTTACGAGTATACTGGACCCATAGTCGGAATTGCACCCACTCAGACTATTTGCTCCGCTGACGAAGCAGTGGATATCCCATCGGATTTAGAGATCGAGCTTCCTTGCTGGAAAAGAGTAACGATTCTGGGCAAATAGGACGAGATGCGAAAATAATGTAACAGGCTAACGAATTGAACGTAGGAAGCAAGGTGACTATATGCTAACTAACTGAGGTCTTTTCTGCTGAACGGGGTCCCGAAACGGCAGTATTCAACTTCCAAGCTTTTGGTCAGTCTCCGCTAGGTGCTTCCGACATGATATCTAGTGCAGAGGATCCAGGTCGTCAATCCACGATGCCTCCTATAAGGACCAACCACGATGCTGGCCGGGATAGACTTAAGCCGGCCGATGGTCATGGTGATCCTGATCAATGTGAATCGAGGTCGAGGCCCTCTCCTCTATGCCTTACATGCCCTCATAGACCCCTAAGTCCGAGTTCCGACATGCATTGCGAAGCCCATGCAGGTCTCCTTCAGTCCGACCGACTCGAAACGGGCCCTGTCGCTCGGGTCAAAATCCTGATGATTGCTCATGGGTTCACCAGGCGACGAATCCTCTGGCGTTGACGTATGCCATGTGATACACACACAACGACTATCAGGGCTGATCGTACGTATACATATGTGTACTAGACCCCCTCTCCTGGAAAGCGTCTTTCTTGAGTGAGCGCTGCACAGATAAGACGTGCACCCTATCCAGCACAAGCACTACGCGGCACCTGCAATATTGCAACAGCTATCCCCACAGACGGACAGACAGGATTTTCATGTACGCGACGCAAGACATTGATAAGTTGATAGACATCCGTCTCGCCACCTCCTCCTTTCCTTCCCAGAGAAGATCCTGGGATGAATAAGACCTTTGCATCATGATTGACATGGAACATTCAGGGAACACGGCGAAACCCAATTTCCCCGGAGAGAGAGAAAAGAGCGCTGAGCAACATGGTCGCACGGCCCGACCAAGCCGACAGCCGTACAGACCGACAGATTGAAGGTGCAGGAACCCCTCCAGGCTCCATGCCTCAGCCTCCCTTTCCCTTTTCCCTTTTCTCTGGACCAACTCGATATGGAAGCAATTTCAAACCGCCCGGCGTTACAGGATTACGGTATCCTTCCTAATCGGGACGGATTGGTGGCGGAGACGCGCAAGCGTCCGTCTTGGCATAGCAACAAGATCTGGCTGGAGGTCCGAGGGAACTTTGGGAGAGCCTGAAGCCTGGAGGAAAGACCCCATCCCGCTAAGCCCCTTCGGTGAGTCTCTCCCAAGGTGCCTGTCAACCACAAATCTGCCCTAGACCCTGGCGGGGCCTGGCCAAGGGGAGGTTTAAAAATAATGGGAGAACTTGGCCCTACAATTGGGAATCTTGTTGGTGAAAATGACTCGCAATCCCATTGAGACCCGGGGAAGAAAAACAAGACGTGTCGAGATCTGGCTATCCTCTGCCTCTTCGGATTTTTGACTTTTTGGTGGTCCCTGATCCTGCCATCCATGAAGAAAGGGGGTAGATCCCTCTACGGAGTAGGTTAGAAGTGTCTCTGATGCCGAATGCCAATGGTTCAACAGCACAAGAAAGAAAGAAGAGAGACCTTGAGTAGGGGTCCATGGTGGCCAGACCCTGGAGGAAAATCAGCGGCAAATATTTCCCCTGATCAAAAGCATCGCATCATACCGTAGGTTGACCTCTTTTCATTCGTTTGTCTGGCCCAACAGGAGACTCCGAACCTTATACTCTGTCTGTTCTTCTGTTTTTTTTTTTCGAGATTGTAGCAAGATTAAGCGACAACACGTTGATGAGTTAACCGTACAACTGAAGATTCCCAGGTTTTGTGCCTCTACCCTTCATCCTCTCCTTCCATATTAAAATACCGTAGATATATATAATTTGTACTCTATGTCCGTTGCTAATATTAGCGACAACACCTGAGAACGGAGAAGAGAGAGAGAGAGAGAGAGAAAACGGGATCTTCAACGGGACTAGTTCCAACCTCCCCCTCAGAGTTAATCTTGGCTTTTTTTTTTCTTCTTTTCCCATGACTCGTGATTACGTATGTCTGGGTTAGTCATCCTTCCCCCGGGCGGCCGATCACGAGAATTGGGTGATGAAACCTTCGAGACCCTTTTTTCTTCGAAGCACGTGAGGTGAGATGAAGATGAGGGGTCGGGACCAAACCCGGTGCTGCAAGTTGAAACGGCCCCCCTTCGGAATTACCCTGTTGGGATCATCCCGAGGTCGTCGTCCACGGTTTCTCATCTACTTCTGCGATGGAGGAGTGAAAGAAGAGGGTAGGTTATGAGTCCTCAGCTTTTTACAATATACAATATATATATCTTAAAAAGGTTCTCCAGTGATGGATTGCTTGATATGATTCTCTCCTCAGTCTCAATAGCTGAGGACAGTTGTAAAAAAGTTGTGGATGGGGTTGTTATCAACGACTCAGGATCATTAAATGTTTCCTCGTACATACTATCATGCTACAGTATGTGCACAACACGATCCGCAAGGATATCTGAGTGGTGCATGCGTTGAGTAGTTTACTGTAAGTGCAAGCAAGTTCTAGACCCTGTCTTAGGGCGCGGATCTAAGCTCATACGATCCAGCAGATACTGTTGTGTTGTTCGGCGATATGTCATCGTGAAGTCATGGTGAGGTGTTAATGTGTACTGCACTACACGATCATGGGCTTGGTTTACTTAAATTAAGTGGTGATTTTCTGGTTGATACTACCTGTTGTTATAGGAGTGGTAATAGTAAGGCGTGATATACCGTCGACGGCATGGTTGTGTAATATCCTTATAGTAAGGCTTGATAATCGAGAAGGTAGGAGGTAGGGGTACTGTGTGTTTCGGGCTGCGGTTGCTGAGCTTGATTGAGCTTGAGCTGGATCGTTGCTCTACCTACCTATGTGGGGGTGGGTGAGGTGGGTGTGGATTCGAAGGCCGGGGCCCATGGGCGTGGGCAGGGGGCGAGCTTAGATGTACTGTTCATTGTAATGTGTTGACGTTGATGGATGACGTATTTGTTGAAGTGATGGTGTAGTCCCTGATGATTCAGCGATAAGAGGTCGACTCAGATAGAAGGGATAGGCATCTACACGTTGGATGTGGAGGATCCAAGCTTGATTGGGTGGACTTGATTTGTTGATTAGGCATTTGTACTCGTACTCATACCTGAGGTAGGTGGCATGCCACATGTCGGTGTTCCAGATTCTTTATTGTTCTTCAATTGTTCCTGTCCTATATTCGATGCTATATCATGTGCTTTGCAAAGGTGAGAGGCTGTTGCTGCTAAATCTATCAAACATAATCGTGAAATGCTCACTCGTGCGCCGGAGTCGTATCAAAATTGAATTGCATGCCAGGGGTTAACCGAAGAAGAAACGAAACAAAAGGGTAGATAGGCCAATAGACAATAGATATTGATCAAGCATCCGGGTTTGCAGCCGAGAGCTTGGACAATTCGGCGACGAAAGACTTGCCCCAGAATGCACTACATCAGTGTGGAACAACAGTCAGTACTCTGGTTCTCCTCCATGCGTGGCGCGGGAAGGCAAGGGAAGGGAAGAAGGAGACAGGGCGGGAAGATCGCCCGTCTCTGCATGCAATGCAGGAAGAAAGGGGGGAGGGGCCACGTAAGCTTACCTCGTGTACTTGGTAATGTACTTGTAGAGCTTCTCAAACTTCTGCGCACGCAGATCGTCGGTCATTGAGACCGCTTCGTGGTATGCGTTGGCCAGCTCCTCCGTGTTCCACGGGTTGACGACGATACTTCCGTTAAGACTTTGCGCGGCACCCGCGAACTCGGACAGAATCAACACGCCCTTGCGCTTCTGCTGGGTCGCGACATACTCGAACGAAACGAGATTCATTCCGTCGCGGGTCGACGACACCACACACGCGTCCGAGGCGGCGTACAGCGCGATGAGTTCGTCAAAACTCACCGACTTGTGCATGAAGTGGATGGGCATGTAATCCACCGTTCCTGTGATTCCGTGAGTTAGTCCAGTTGCGCTATCCAGACACGTTCGGTCACTGGACTGGGGTAAAATGACTTACCGAATTTGCCGTTGATTCTTCCGACTAGCTCGTTAACCACCGCCCGCAGGTTCTGATATTCTTCGACATCCTGACGACTCGGGACGGCGACCTGCACCAGAACGACCTTGCCCACCCATTCCGGGTGCTGGGACAGGAAGACCTCCAAGGCATGCAGCTTCTGGGGGATACCTTTGATATAGTCCAGGCGGTCGACACTGACCATCAGCTTGGTACCCTCAAACTTGCTTTCCAAGCTGGCGATCCGGTTTTGCACCTTGGGACTTTTGAGACCCTCGGTAAATTTTTCGGGATCAATGCCAATGGGGAATGCCCCGACAGCGACCGACCTGTCCTTGAATTCCACGCTGCTCGGAGTGGTGACCAATCCCCTACGGCGGCCGGTTAGCGTGCGACAGACGGGACCTCCGAGTGGGAAGAAAAAGATGGTGACCTACAGGATATGCGAGCAACAGCTCAAGAAATGACGCGCATAGTCGTAGGTGTGGAATCCGATCAAATCACACTGCAGCACGCCGCGCAAGAGCTGACTCCGCACGGGCAGGATGCGGTAAATCTCGCTACTGGGGAAGGGGGTATGCAGGAAGAATCCGATTCGGATATTCTTCTTGCCCAACTCGTGAAGCTCCTCGCGGAGATATTCCGGTAGGAGCATGAGGTGGTAGTCGTGGACCCAAACCAAGTCCCCGTCGCGAGCCTCGCGCGCGATGGTCCGAGCGAAGAGCCGGTTCGCCTCACGATAGGCATCCCACGCCGCTTCGTCGAACACGATTTCACCGGGGTGGTAGTGTAGCAGTGGCCAAAGAATAGAGTCTGACAGCTCACATTAGTCATGGCGACCCATTGGAGGGGGGAAAGTGGGAAGTGGGAAGTGGGAGGGGAGGCGCCTGTTGCTAGGTGCCATGTGGCTATCGCGGAAGCTGGGAAATATGCAGGCGCATATCAGATGCGGGCAAAATGCCCAGGGAGGGGCAGAAGGAGCAGCAGCAGCAGCAGCAGTAGCAGCCACCGCCGCAGCAGGAGGAGCAGCAGCAGCAGAAGAAGAGGGGTAGGTTAAGGCGCGGGGCGGGTGATTAGGGCAGCGACTCACTGGAAAAGCCATTGTAGTGACGATCCGCCAATTTGTCGTCCATGAAGACTGGAGTCGCATTGAACTCATCCGACAGTCGCGCAGTCACTGATTCAATCTCATCCTCAGGTACTTCCAGTCCGGGCCAGCCATACCACTGGAAAGTCGTCGCCTTGGAGAGTCCACTCAATCCTGTCACCAATCCTCCCGAAGACATGGAAAATTCATACTTCCCTCCTGCCGATCGTCGAATGGTGATCGGAATCCGATTCGAGACGATCAACAGGCGGGAATCGCCCTGTGAAGAATTGTCGCTGGCCATGACAGCTGACACTCAATGTGGTTCAGGTAAATGAGATTGAGAATTGGAGAGAAGCTAGGAAAGCTCAGAGATGTTGTGCCCCGCTTTTCTTCTGTTCTGATCGAATCTGGAGGGAGCTTGGATGGGAATGGGAAAAAAGAAAACAAGAGGGAAGTCAATTGGGGTCTAGCGATAGGAAGGAGAAATTGGAAGAGTAATATAATGCGATGGAGAGAGAGAGAGAGAGAGAGAGCGCGCGCGCGCGAGAGATGGAGAGAGGGGAGAGGAGACGGAAGAAAAGGTGGTGATGACTTTCTGGCTTCGTATCGGTGAAGGGAGGGAGAAAGATCGGGGAGCGAAAGGGCGAAACCCAGATAAAGATCAGGAACAGGGCTTGGAAGAGGATTAAAGTGGTAATTTTGGTTTCCCTGGTGTACACACTACACAACAATCAGGAAGAGCTCCACTTCCTTCTTAAGTGATGGCTGGCAAAAGAATAATAATAGTGTGTAGACTATTGTTGGGTTGGTTATTACTTCACCACCGCCTCATCGAGCCCCTCCATATGGGGGATTAGAGTATTGTACTGTAGGTTAGTTAGTCGTGGACTACTTTCTGTTTACCTAGTATTGATCTTGCTTGTCCGCCTTTTTCTCCCCCCCTATCATCTGCCCCTCCTTTCTCTCTTTCTTTCTCTCTATCTATTTTCTTATCAAGTACCTACCAGCATCTTCAACCCCCTTGTTGCGACCCATTCCTACTTTTCCCGTGCAGTTCCTTCTTGCTGAACCAACCCTCGAATCCATGTGCAAAGGGTGCGACTGTGAGTGGTAAGAAGGGGTGATGCCAACCTTGACCAAGATTGACCAAACCGGGCACGCGGTGGTGGTCGAACTGTCTCGAACCGTCGCCCAAACGCCGCGGGTGGATCAGTTGCGGATCCCACGGGAACCTCAACGTCATTGTTCTCATTGGTCTTTGCCCGTTTCTATACTTCCCTGGTCTCAGCTCTTTGTTTCTTCCTCCAGCCTAAGCTAGGGAATAGTCGAACTGATTATCTGCAGACCGTGCTGCAGGCAAGTTTTACTCCCCGTCTAGTGCCTCCTATCCCGATCTAGCTAGATCGGTGGGATTCTTTGATATTCAATTGATGCTATGAGCTTGTGATCTGATAGTTTTCAATTGTGATGGTTGTTTTATTTTTTTTCCCCTTCCAGCCTTGAAACCAAAAAGAAAAATAAAATCACTCAATGGGCTAGAATCTTCCTGTTTTTCCCCTCCCGGGCTTCCTTTTCCCCTCTTTTTCTTTTGATTCTTCGCCCCTCCCCCTCCTTCTGCCTTCTTCTGGAGTGCCTCCGTGCACAGCTCATCTCTGCCCAAGGCCACCACACATAAGCCAAAGAAGGAAATTGGAGAAATACAGATCCCAAGAAATTAAATGGAAATGGGAAAAAAAGAAGAAGGAAAAAAAAACCTGCCCAAACCCCTCCTTCACGCACGAAAAGGCCAGAATGTTCCTGTCTAGTAGGAATTGATGCCTTGCATGTGCTCCGTTCCCCGCGGGTTTTGACAGGTGCCCTGGTCCTGGGCCAATCAATGCCCATCAATCATGGACGTCACCACTGACTGCTTCTTCCTTCTCTTCCTTCTGCGCATGGCTCGGGTGTCTAACTCTCTCTCTCTCTTTTGCATCCACCCGGGATTTTCAGGGTCATCCATTCTCTTCTTTCATCCTCGTGTGACTTAAAGACCTAACCATTGTCCTCTTTTCTCGCTTGGATCCGTATTTCAACTCTATTATCTATCCTCAGCTACCTCTCCCTCCACTCCACTACCCTCTGCAGCCTTAAAACATCCCTAGGTCCGAGTCTTGTCGCTGCAGCACCCTTCCTCCTTATTATTCTTTCCTACCCATCACGGACTCTTTGACTCTCTGATTTGCTCCACTGCTCCACTATTCTTTTCAGCCTTCTGGTCCCCGCTGATCCTGGATCCCTCCCTGCTGTCTGCAAGACATCCATTTGGTGTCACAAAGACCTTCTAGAAAACACCTCTTGCTCCAAGACACATACACACACTGTCGCAATGACGGTCTTCATTGCTTCACTGTACGTCAATGCCTTTTTTCTTCTTCCTCTCTACCTGGTCCGTTGCACCCTACTAACCCTGAATAGCTTCCTTCCGTACACCATCAACTTCCAAGCTACCGAGCTGAGATATGCTCGTCGCAAATCATCCAGCAGCTCCTCTCAAGGAGAAGGGAAGATTGTAGGACGCTTGGCTGATACCAATCGGAAACGCCATTCGAAGAGCATCAGTCTATACACACCTGGGGCAACCACTGAGGATGAGAAGATCTTCAAGCCATACATCTCCCGGTCTGCCGGAGAGATCCCGGCTGCAGATGACCCCAATGGTCCCGGCCCTAGTGAGCCTCGCACGGTCTCTTGGGGCCAGAGCCGGAAGTTCAACCAGCCACGCTCCAAGGCTTCTTTATACCCGGAGCCATCTATCCTTAGTCGTCCTGAGATCGACGAACTAGACAATCCGCCGTATCTTGATGCTCCCTTGGATGCAATCAGCTCCGAGGAAGAGCATGGCAGCCCGCGGGCCCTTCTTTCGGAGATGGATTGGGTGGTCAAAGCAGCAGAGCAGGGCAATGGTGGCCTACGCAATGCTATCAATGCTGCCGAGGAAGCCGGTATGCTGACAGACAAAATGTGGGTGGGGACCTTGGGCATGCCCACCGACTCGTTAAAGGACGAGACTCGGGCTAGTATCTCCGAGGCCCTCGAAGATGAGTTCGAGTCCTTGACGGTTTTCGTCAATGACAGCGAGTTCGAGGGCCATTACACTCACTTTTGCCGTGCCGTCCTCTGGCCTGCCTTCCACTATCAGATGCAAGAAAGTCCTCGACACACAGAGTATGATGATTATTCCTGGAAGCAGTATGTGAGGGTCAACGAGGCCTTCGCGGACAAGATTGCTGCCTACTGGCGTCCAGGGGATAGCATTTGGATCCATGACTACCACCTTCTGCTTCTCCCATCCATGCTCCGCGAGAGACTACCGAATGCAGAGATCGGGTTCTTCATGCACACTGCCTTCCCATCTTCTGAGATTTTCCGGTGCCTCAATGCTCGAGATGCGCTGCTTCATGGTCTATTGGGCGCCGACCTCGTCGGGTTCCAGACGGAGGAATATTGCTACCATTTCCTCCAGTCATGCATTCGTCTGCTCGGCTTGGAGGTGTCCGTCGATGGTGTCCAGCTGGAAAAAAGATTTGTCAACGTGAGAAACATGCCGATTGGAGTCGATCCGAAAGCCCTCGATCTGCTCCGCAGGTCAACCGAGGTCAAGGACTGGATCGCCAATATCAGTTCTCGGTACAAGGGAAAGCACTTGATTGTTGCTCGAGACAGGCTGGATGCTCCCGGCGGTATTAAGCACAAGCTAATGGCTTATGAGCTGTTCCTGAAGCAATATCCCAAGTGGAGAGACAAGGTATGTTGACATACTTGACGTCTACGCGACGCAGGGACTAGGTTCTAACTTCAGCAGGTCGTCCTTGTTCAAATCGCTTCGGCCTCTGAATTACCTGAGTTAGAGGCGCAAGTCTCGAAGATAGCCATGCGCATCAACTCGGTCTACTCAAGTTTGACTCATCAGCCACTGGTTTTCCTCCGCCAAGACATCAGTTACTCTCAGTTCTTGGCTCTCATGAGTGTGGCTGAGATCTTCATGGTCACTAGTCTGAGAGAAGGTATGAACCTCAGTAGTCACGATTACATCCACTGCCAAGATGGAATCTTGACCGGGCAGCGCCATGGCTCCCTCATCCTGAGTGAGTTTACTGGAAGTGCGTCGATCTTTAACGGCCACGAACTCATGGTCAATCCATGGGATTACAAGGAGGTTGCCGACACAATCAACAGAGCCTTTGAGATGACCGCGGAGCAGAAACAGCGCAACTGGGAGTTTCTGCTAGAAAAGATGACTCCTCACACCGCTCTTGCCTGGTTCAACTCGTTCCAGGCCTCACTGACCAAAGCCCACAGCGCACAATTATCCCGTGAACTCAGCCAGGTAAAACCTCTTTCGCTCGATGCCGTGAAAGGCGCGTACGACGAGTCCACCGTGCGACTGTTCTTCTTGGAGATTGAGGGCATAGTCGCCTCCAGCCATGGAGGGCCTACTAACTTGGTTCCTCTACTCCAGCGCTTACTTGAGGATCCAAAGAACTTGGTATACGTGACCAGCAGCAAGAGTCCCGAACAGCTCGAAATCCTGCTCGAGCCGCTCTCCACCAAAGTTGGAATCATTGCTGAGAACGGCTGTTTTGTGCGACAGATTGGAAATTTCGACTGGGTGACACTTGTAGACATGGAGAAGGCCAAAGATTGGCGAAATGGCATTCGCAAGGTGATCCAATATTACCACGAGCGAGTTGAAGGAAGTGTGATGGAGGAAGGCCGTTGCTTGCTAAATTTCTGGTATCACGACGCGCTTGACCCCGAGGCGGCCGCCCGCCAGGCTTCTGGCCTTGCCGATCAGATCAACGGCACTCGCGGTAGCGAAGCCATCCGCGTGGTCCTCACCGAGGGCGCAGTGAGTGTTGAACCTTTGGACATGACGAAAGCCAAAGCGGCCGATTCCGTCTTGCAGCATCTGGACCAAATCCCGGACTTTTTGTTTGTGGCGGGCGGAGCCCGCGGCGACGAAGCCCTGTTCCGGTGGGCGAATCGCCTTCAGACTGACGAGAAAAACCCCAGTGTCACCACGCTCACCGTGGGTACTCATGCCACAGAAGCGCGAGCCGTTCCGCCCAAGGGATTGGGCATTGTTGACATTGTAGATGCGCTGGTCTTCTCTCTTCCCGAGGGCCACCTTGATGGACATCCTGACGGTCTCGCCGCCGATGCCCCAGCCCCAGTCCAGGCTGAACAAGGAGAGGACGAGCAGACAAACAGACACGCTCCAGCCACCCCTCCTGTCTTCAATGGACATGAGGCAAACGGGTACTCCACCCCTCCTATGTCTCCGACTCCGGACTGGCATCTCGTGGAACACTCGCCTACATTAAATGGTGTGAATGGAGCGACACACCCATTATGACCTTGATGCCTACTGATACGCATCCACTTCTGGGAGCTCACTAACGACTATCCTTATCCTCCCGTCTACTTACCTCTTTCACCTCTTTATGCAGCCTTCTTCTTTCTTATACCTTGATTCGAGGAACACCTTGTAGCACCTCCTTGACATGACGTTACGTGACCTAACGTGTGACATGACCTAAGATTACCCTCAACCCTCTGTCACTACCACCAATACCCTTCTCGGTTGTCCTTTTCCTCCACCTCTTGTCTTTTTTTTATTCCATTCTTCTTGATCAGGGATGTGACATATCACGGCGAATGGACACACTCGATGATAATCATAAGATTTTTCAGAATATGATGATGTTGATGGATTGGCTAGAATGCACTAACTTCCTTAATTGATTTATGAAGACTTTGGTAGTCGACAGTTAGATTGTGACCATGCAAATGATGATCTTTCTTGACCTCGTACCCAGCCTTTAGAAATTAAGATGTAAAGATGGAATAGCCGTGCAGATACTCCACCATAGTACCAGACAGGTTGCTCCGATGATGCCTGCACCCATGAAAACCACCCAGTACAAAATGAACGGGCTGGTACAGGTCCCCCCCCTCTCCATCGGATGTCTGGCTGCTGTACAGTACCTTCAACTCAGCAACAGACTTCCTTTCCTCTCCACATCCCACCTCCCCGACCCTCCGCACTGGACAGATATACATAAGATGTACCGTACATACATACATACATACATAATACATACAAGTAACGGATTAGTCCACCACCACCGCCGCCGCCGCATGGACCCTATCTCCCCGGTACTACAAACCACAACAAAAGACAGAAGACAGAAGACAAGACCAAACTCACCCAGTCAACCCCGTTGCCCGTTGTGTGTCGATCTATCCACGGGTACATCTAAGCTGGACAGGAATTTTTTTCACTTTCCTGAGCCGGGAGCTGACGGTGACGGCGTTGGTACGGGTAGATGGCGATGTGTATTTCAATCACACCATGTTCGGCAGGCGAGGGGGCGGGGGGGGGGGGCGCAACTGTGGCCACACACACACACACACACACAGGTTCAGCTAAGGGTACATGCATCTTGGGGGTGATGTGATGTTATTGCTCAGCTGTTGGCGGTGGTCGATGGGCGATGTTGACGGAATGATTCCCGGTCAACCCCCGCGTTTGGTTTGCGCGTCGGGTCACCAGGTTTACTGCACGGTCGATGGGGTGCGCGGGAGGGGGAGAAGGGGACGGGGTGGGGGTTAGGAGTTTGTTGAGAGGGAGGAAGGACATCGGTAACTCGGGTGATGTGCTTGATGACTGGGGTTCTCAGCGGGGAAATGGAAGAAATAAGACTGGAGTTCGAAGTATTTACACATATCCACATTCGAGCTGATGGGATAATAACTAATACTAATCGTAGGTCCGTTTGCGTGCGGGGGTACTGGTACTAGATGATAACAATGGGAAGCAAAGAAGAGTAGGAGGGGTTGTGCGGAGAAAGGAAGTCAGGGAGGAGGGGGGGGGGGCGAAACAAGAACAAAAACAGAATACCGTACAATAATGCGCCGGAAGGGGGGAACAATGATGCATGTATGCCTTGCCTTGTCTGGCTGACTGACTGAATGACTCAACTCGGACTTCGAAACTCTACCGGAAATCCTTCCTAGTAAACAAACACTGTGGGAAAATAGATCACTAGCTCATGGAAATGCGAATAGGAGAATAGGAGGTTGACACGTGAATTCATGGATCTCGCCTGGAAGATAGATAATATGTCGTGGCGAGTCAGGATCGCTCCGAATCTCGCCTGGAAGGGTGGCGGTGGTGGGTGGTAGAAGAAGACGGGAGGTAACGGGATGGAAGAAGTTACGCTTTGGTCACGGAGGGAATAGGAAATAACAAGAACATCATGAATAAGATACTTGTCAGATGGCATGATTAACCTCCAACATCCGTAGTACTATGTGACTCCTTTTTCACAGAGGTATGCTCGGTGCCTGCTGATATGAGCGTCGGCGCGACTCGTCGCTTCTTCGGTGGTTGGACGGGCGGAGCCGCGCTCGGGTCTCTGTCTTCCTCCTTTTCCGATTCACTGACCCGTTTGCCTAGCACACTGGCGCTGACATTGCTTGTCCCACTTTGCGAGGCCACAGGCATAGGGGTCTGTGGCGGCGTCGTGAGCGGAAGTGTCGGAGGCTGGGATGAGTGAGTCGCCGTCACCAGGGGGACTGATCCGAGAGTCGGTGTCGGGTTGTTGACCACCGTCCCTGGCGTTTGTTGGCTACCAGACTGGGTCGTGACCGATGACACCGAATTAGATCGAGCAGGGCTTGCAGGGGGTGCTTGGCTCGCATTGGCTTGGGGGCCTGGACTTGGTTTCGCTGTCGTCGGCGTAGGGAGCGGAACATTATTGGCCGATAACACAGCGGCTGCGTTCTGATGAGCCGCTGATGCTGGTGCAGTGTATGGTTGGCCTAACTCGCCCGGCGAGAATGCAAGCGTAGAACAAAATCCGTCGGACGAACTCATCATCAAGGTCAAGCCATCATTCGACCTGTCCAAAGTTAGTCCAGCTGAATCAAGTCGTCGAGTGTCCGTCATCATTACTTACCAGGTCAGATCGGTGAAAGTAGCAAAGTGCAGATTGCTAACGACGCAAATTGGCGTCTGCTGCTGGGTGTCATACACCAGGACTCCGTCCTGGGTGGCTACCGCATACACGATTCGGTAGGGCAGTGTGAACACGGGAGCAGGGCTTTGGCTCGCAGAGGGACTGTCCCGCTCCGTCGCCTTGGTACCGGTGTTGTTCTTCACCAAATCGTTGGCGGCAAGCGTGGACGATGGAGGCTCCATTGACGCGCCATCCTTGGCGGAACTCACCACCGGATCGGGGAGCGAAGAGAACGACTCTTCGATGGACGAGGTGTCTAAGGTGATATGGCGAGCAGGCTGAGGAGTCTGCCGAAGGGTATAGAAAATTGGAGAGCACTTGACCGCAACAGATGGTTTCTTATGGCCTGGGAGATGAGAGATGGGTGGCTTGTTGAACCCGGCGCGGGTATAGATGTAAACGGTATTGATGATCTCGTCCGTTGTTTTCGAGGAGTCGGTCGCTGACACATGCGACGTCTTGTACTGCCCGGCCGGGGTGAATAGCAAGCTTCCATCAGGAGCAAAGGTTAACCTCCGGAAAAATGAGGTGAAGGTCTCATTTGCATAGATGTTGGCATTCTTGACTCCGAGCCCACCCAATAAACCGGGTGATGGTACCTCGAGCGGTTTGACAGCTGGTAACGGCAGTGATGGCGCTGGAGATGCTGAACGACGGATGGAAGGAGAGGACCCGAATGAGGATCGGCGACTATGCGACACGGGGGGAGGGTCCATCGGCAAGTTGGAGGTCATTGGTGTACCTGGAGTGGACGGAGCGGGAGAAGCAATGGCGGCCGAGCTGGTCGGTGCGGGTTGAGAGCGAATCGATAGATCCGGCGGCGCAGGACTGCTCGACGAGATGCGTTTCGCGGGGAGATCCATCTTGAGGAACTTCCCATGGGAAGTGGGGGTAAATTGGCCGTCTTTGGTTTTCAAGCTGTAGATGTGGACCGAGCGGTCGGATGATTGTGTTGCAACAAATTCATTCAGCGGATCCCAGGCCACACCCTGGACGTAGTGCGAGTGCTCAGCAATCTGGCGCACCATTTGGCCTGTCATTCATACAGTCAGCAGTCCAATTCCGTGTGCAACCCACAAACTGAACTCACCCGTTTGAGCGTTATAGATCCGAGCAATATTGTCCATACTGCCCGTGATAATGAAAACCCCGTCGGGCGACCACGCGAGATCATAGATCTCTGCCCCGGAAGAACGGCACATATGCTTCACTCGCCAGGTTTCCTTGTCGTCCGAGCGGTCTTCACCTAAGCCCGGTTGTGATTGCAATTCCGACGGTACCCAGAGTAAGACATTGCCGTCATCCCCGGCAGATGCCAGCATCTCGCCTAAATGAGATTCGAGGAGACACAATCAGCACAGGAAACGACATCGACAGATTGGATCGAGCGTTGCTGCCTACCTTTGGGGCTGAAACGGACGACATTCACAGCTTGGGTATGTTTGACCAGCGTGCTCAGGTAGGACACCTTCCGTTCCTCTCCGGTTGATTCCACTTTCCATAGCTGTGGTTGTGTTATGTTGTCAGACACGGTGTACAGAGTGCCCTCGACGGGGAGTCACGAGGAGGGATGAGGGAGGGCAAAGCGAGTTCGAGAGGGGGGATCGTACTCGGACGTTATTGTCACTAGAGAGCGGAGACAAGCATCAGCAACCTGAATGACAGACCAAAGAAGGGCAAAGGGAGAGATCAGACGAACTCACTTTCCAGCAGTGGCTAAGCGACCCTTACCATTGGGGTCGAAATGTACCGAGTAAATAGGAGCATTGTCATCGTGCCACGAGATGAGCAACGGGGTGGCCTTCATGATGAGCACGGATGCTCAATTGGGGGCACCCGTTGAGAGATTTGGGGGGGGGGGGGGTGAGGAGATTGAGGCCCAGGACGACTATATATTGCGGATATAGATGGGGTGGAAGATTGATTGTATCCAGTAGTAGTATGAGGGGTGGGGTGGGGGAAGCTGAAGCAGCAGCAGCAATGAGGAGAATTGTTAGGGCGTGAGAGAGAGAAGCGCGGAGGGAGAGTTGCGGGCGAGGAAATTCAATGCAAACAAGCTGTCGGGAAGTACAGTACTTGCAGCAGCAGCAGCAGCCTCTCGGAGGGATTTAAAGAGGTATGCAATCAGAAGAATGAAAGAAGGGGGGTGGAGAGGGAGGGGAAAGAGAAAGAGGAAGCAAAGAGGAGGTCGGATTATTAGACAAGATCAAGAATCTAGTAATTCTAACACTAACACAGTCAGTCAATGATCCGATTTGACGGAGCGAAAAGTGCAGCAGACGAGAGTGGTGTAGTGTACGAAGTAGTGTAGTGTAGTAAAGTAAGTAGTGTAGTGTGAGAGAGCGAGAAAAGCGGAAGTAGTTGTCCGTTGCAGTGGCAGTGGAAGTTAACTGATTGCAGGTTCCAATCAGTGGTCAGTTCAGTGGTGATGTCGTTCATCCCAGCATCCCATCATGGATCATCGATCCTTTTTCTCTCCCTCGTGTCGCGCCCGGCGAATGACAATCCCCGCGTCCGTCAGCTTCGCGTTCGCCTGCTCCGTCGATCGCGCGTAAAACTGGTTCTTCATTTCATTCTTCTTACGGAAGTAGAAACCCCCACCGGTCACCTCCCATTTTTAATCCTCTTGCTTCCTCGATCTATTTATTATTGATCTCTGTGCGCCCGCTTTCCAAACCAACGCCTGCACCGAGAATACCATATCAATCAAGCGGGTTGGTTTCTCTTGCGGCATGGCGGCTGGCGATTACTTGACACCACAGTCCCTTCCAATGAACAATGGGAACTGCCTTGAATTGTGATCTGCATGCGGAAGAAAAGGTACAGGTGGTTGCTACTGTTATTGAACGGTCTCTCTGGTTACCAGGGGCGTGGAGAAGGTTTAGACTTGCTGAATGGCTACCAAGTAGTCGAGGTAACTGCCTCCTTGGCCAGTTCCGGGCATACTAATGCGTCGAGAGAATCATCGCTCCAATCAGTCTTCTATCGCTGAACATAGAAGTACACGGGGGCGTTGAGTGAGCAAAGCAGTCAATAAGCGATCCGACCAGGGGAGCTGAGGCTACCGATGGAATATAGCACCACCACCTCTGGGACCTATTTCACTACCACTAACATATAGCACTGCGCAAGGTGTTCGATGCTTATCCCTCTCGTCAGATTGATCTTCAAGGTCAGATTGATCACCGGCAATGCCTACTAGTACTATTCAACTTCGAAAGTATCGCTGATAACTACTCACAAACTCCCCCAGAAAAGTCAAGCCAACAGGGGTAACAATCATAATATACATCAGAATTGAAGACGAATTTCTCATATCCGGAATGTTTCAGGTGACCCAGCGACCAATCGTCTCGCCAAACCAACTGGTAGCCTTCTCTCGTCGCTTGGAACGGGCCTCATCCTGGCTCTTGATGAACGGCGTTGCCTCCTGCACGTATAGTTTCTGCTGCTCCAACTGTGCGTTGTGCGCCCGAATCTCCAGCTCTCGCTCGTGGGGAGTGAGCTTCTCCAGAGGCTTCGATGGCTTCAAGCCGACGGGGATGGCCTCCCCACCGGGAATCTCCAACGTCTTCTTGGTGGTAACGGCGGGACTCTGCGGCGGCGGCGGTGCTTGGGGGTTAAAGAGCGAGGTGAGAAGCGGAGGATCCAGCCCGGCCTTCTGTGCTTCCTCCACCCGGGTTTCGTAGTCCAACATCTCATGATAGAGTTTATCCGCGTGCATCTGAATCCGCTCCTCTCTCTCCGCGTCCCACTCGAAGGAGGATGCGTAGCCCAAGGCCTGGAGGAATTTCTGGGGACCCCAAAGCAGTTAGCATCTTAAGTATCAAAGGGAATTCGTCCACCCGCGTACGTACAGCCTGGGTGGTAAAACAATGAGAAAACTTAGAGTTCTCTTCTGAGCACATGGTCGCACGGGCTTTCAGTTGCTTCTGCCAGTTGCCGGTGCGGAAGCAATTGGCCCAGTCCTCCTGTTCCAACGCACAGTTCTCCATCGCCGCCCGGTGCACGGTATCACCGCGCTGTTTGTACTTCTCGATCACCCGCTCGGCGGTTTTCATCTCGGACTGTTCCTTTTCCTGGGGTGGCTTGTAGGTCTTCCAGAGGTGGGCATAGCGGCCGTCGGGGAAGAGGGAGGCATTGGGGACCGAAGGTTCCGATGGCGTAGAAGCACTCTCCGACGATGGCGGTGATACCGGTGTCTTCTCTACTGTCTTCGAAGGCTCGTGGACGGAAGGAAGCGCATTCGTGGGCACATATTTCTTGGGGGCTTCATGTTCGAGGAAATCCCGCAGCTCCGGGTCAAGCTTTTTGACGGGGTCGTCTTGGTTCGAACCGCCCCAAAACCAACCCATGATGTGAAGTGTAAAGTGATCGATTCACTGGGAAGAGACAGCCGCGAGTGAGGAAACAAGGTTGGGAGAAAGTAGGCCCTGCAAGCGCACGTTGCTTTTCGTAGTGTACACTGCTTTGCAATATAGATTGACTGCGGAGAATGGCGCGAGATGCCCGAAACGAAAGGCAGGCCCTCCCTCAGCTCAGTCTTCAACTTACCGGGCGCCAAACCGTATTGGGGAAAACGATTGTCAGGTTTCCGCCCGCCCTGCCATCATTCCCCCCCCCCCAATTCCAACTTCCGCTGCCCCCAAGCAGGAGGGATCCAAATCTCTTTTCACCTCCTTCCCCCCATCTTTTCTCGCGCGTCAATTTGCGCGTCGAGTTCGGCCTGACGCCGCTTCTCCAACATGAATATCAGTATGATTATCTATTTTCGCACAGGTTTCTCGCGTACTCAGCTAATCTTTGGCAACGGTAGATCGAGAGGAGCGGCAGCAAATGCGGCAGCGCGGAGCAGCGTACGCGCATCCAAAACCCCCAGCATACCCCGCGCCGCCTTACCATTAGGCTTTGAGTCGCTAATTGTACCCAATCTCGAGCAGGTCACGTAAGACGAAAGAGATCAACTTTGGTTTTTCGTTTGGGCTAGCTCCGCCGCCGGACGAAGCTGCTGATTCCGCGTCGCGCCCGGCCGATGTTGGAATCGCTGGTGAACCTCCTGCCTTAGCTCCGCCGCCGCCGCCAACAACGACAGTGACAGCAGCAGCAGCAGCACTGCCAATTACTACAGAAAATACAAGTATTGCAGATGAAACTACGCAAAATGGCTTGCCGCCTGCGGCTGAGCCTTCGACATCCCAGGACCAGAAACCCGCTCGACGGACGTCAGGAAGCCCGCGCACCAGATCCTCGCCCAGACTGTCTTTGCCTAAGAGTCTATCGGACGATGCAACGGAAGCCGGTCCAAGTCGCAAGATCAGAAAACTTGGTGCGCAGCCACATGCACTGACGCGGTTTATACAATGCTGACCCTGTCCAAGATCACCCTAGGAGCTCCCCTACGAGTTCAGCTGCTGCGCACAGTGCTGAGAACCCCCCTTCTCTCGCCAATGGGATCGCCCCGATGGACCCATCTCAAACTGCTGAGGAATCAACTGTTGCGACCGAGCCTGTCCCCAAGCCTGTCCCGGCCCCCGCTTCCGAAGCTTTGATCGAGAGACCAGCATCACCCGTAACGCCGGCAGCCTCTATAGCGCCCAATGACCTCGCGTCTCCGCAGGCTCCCCAGGAACCGGAGTCAGCGGCAGTGGCTACAGAGAAGCTGTCATCGAGGCCTAAGTCAGCATCACCCAGAGCGAACGGAACACCCTCCCCGCCAGGTAAGAAAGCAAGAGGCAAGCGCAAGAGACAAGGCTCTCAGGAAAGTGAACGATCGTCGCCTACTACAACCAGTCCGAAGACGAGCGAAGAGCAGATCGAACAACCCACAGAGCCCATGGATACATCGCTGGATATACAACCTGAAACTACAGAACCATCAGCCACAGTTGTGCCAGATACTGTTGAACTGTCAAACGACACAATTCTTCCAGATCTTCCTGCGTCGACCCAACCCGTTGAGCCTCAAACCGTCGCCGAGCCCCAATTGACCGCCCCATCCCAAGAAACAACCCAATCCCATGCCGCCACCGAACCTCAACCGACTACGAAGCAGTCAAGACTACCCGTTCCTTCGCGAGCCAAGCGACCACGCGGCGAACGAGCTGCATCCGTCCAGCCATCTACGACTACGGTCAAAGAGCCTCGAGTGGCGAGAGCAGGGTCCGCGGAAAGTGCGCCAGTTAAAGCTAAGGGAAATAAGAGAATCCGGACACGGGTGGATGGGGTCTCTGAGCGGGAAACTGATGCTTCCATCACCAACGGGGAGCCAGAGAGTCAGAGTATGGAGGTAGATGCTCCGCAAGGAGCAGAAGTGAGTGCTGCGGAGCGAAAGGGAGCCCGCAGAGGACGTCCGCTACAGTCGGAGGTAGCAGAAACGAAACCGAAGCGCGCTGGTCGCCCCGGAAGAAAGGTTTCGCCCTCTCTCCAGGACGTGGTCGAGGAGGAAGCTCCAGTCGAGGAGGCGCAGAAGGAGGTGCAGGAGCCGGAAGAGTCGGCGTCACAGCCCATGCCAAGAGGGCGGAGACCCAAGGCATCTGAGCCACAGCCGGTGGAGCCAGAGCCAAGTCAGCCGGAGCCATCAGAGGCGCAGCCGAAGCGCAAAGGACGACGACCCAAACAAGCAGTTCCGGAGCAAGCGGAACCTGCACCACAGCCACAGGGCCATGAAGCAGAGGCGGAGACAGCATCTCGCTCGAAGCCAAGAGGACGGAGAGCTAAGCTAATGGAACCGACACCGGAGACAGCAGCAACGGCTCCGGAACCAGCGATGCCTGATTCAAGGCACAGAGGGCGAAGAGCGAAGACCGCTGAGCCAGAGCCGGTAGAGCCAGAGTCAGTGGTATCTGAATCGAAACTCAGGGGGCGGAGAGCTAGGACTGCAGAGCCAGAGATTCCACAACCAGAGACAAAACCGACGGAACAACCAGTGGACGAGCCAGAGCCAAGGTCAAGAGGGCGAAGGACAAGGACGGCTGAGCCGGAGGCAGCACAAGCGGAGCCCGGCGCGGCAGATCAACAACCAGCCGAGGCAGAGCCCAGGCGCAGAGGGCGGAGAGCACGGACAGCTGAGCCGGATGAACCACAACCACAGCCAAATCCAGAGCAGGCCACGCAAGAATCAGTTGAGACAGCGCCGAAACCCAGAGGACGGAAAGCACGGACAGCCGGGCCGGAAGGTGCACAACCAGAGCCAGAGCCGGCCACGCACGAACCAGTTGAAACAGCGCCAAAGCCAAGAGGGCGGAAGGCGAGAGGAGCCAAGTCGACACCACCAATGCCAGCAGAAGCTGTTCCGGAACCTGAAGTGGTCGAACCCGAGGTCGCACAGCCAGAACCAGAACCCAAATCTTCGCAGGCACCCGCTGAACCCCGATCTCGCAAGCGTGATCGTGGCGGCAGGCAGGCAGAAGAGAGTGCCGGGGTTAGCGCGACACGCGAGGCAGTCAACGTTGCAGCGGAAGGCGAGGGCAGCGCAGAGCCTCCGACGCGGAGACGCAAGCCCAGACAACCTCGCGGAGAGACCGTGCCGGTCACTGTGCATCGTCTTGCGAACGTTGCTGCTCTCGGGGGCGACCCCACACTGTTGGAGTCGTCGGATGACGAGGGCGAGACCGCTGAGGCATCGTCGTCCGACCGGCAGCAGGACAAGCTGCCCAGCCGAAGCGGCGTGAATGTGGCCGACGTACTGGGCCAGATCTGCCGCGAGACATTGGAAAAGACGCTGACAACGCTGACCAACGGCATCGACGGCGAAGGGAACGACGGGCGACGCGCCGAATGGACGCGCAAGAAGAAGGTGGTCGAGGCGTACGGCAGCGAATTGGAGAGCCGACTGCTCGAGCTGAGTGAGATGCTGGACGGCAACTTCGTGCTTGGGGTCAAAATGCGCAAAGCCAAGCGCGAGATGATGGAGTATCGGAGTCGACTGTACCAAGTGCGAAAGGAGCGAGAGGCGGTTGCGTTGCAAATGGACGCTGTCCGGAGAAAACATGCCGAAGATGAGTCTGCACGAAAGGTGAGTCTTTCCGGAGTTGAACCAAAACTATATTAAGAGCAGTCGGAGGCTAACATCAATCCCGTATAGGCGCGTTCGACCATCAACAATTCCCTCCACAGTCTCGACCTCGCGCTGGAGCGTCGTCAGACCCACCCGGCCGATCCTGATGAGACCACTGATCTGGGGGGGATGGAGTTTCTGCTTCGCAACGTTGCGGAGACGGTCAGTTCCGCCGCCCCCGGCGGCCAGGGCGGGCTGCTGCACCAACTTCGCTCCTTCAACGCACAGCTCGAATCCACGGCACGGCGGCTGGAGAGTTGAGCGTTGAGCTTCTTCTCGACCCATGTCATCCTCGGCTTCATTTTCGTTGCGTCACCACCTGAAATGCAAATTTCGCGTCTTGCTCGTCTTGCTCTTTCTATCGATCCCGAATACCCCCATGACACGAACACTGCGACAGGAGTTTTTTTCTTTAAAGGTTGTTTTTTTTTCGGAGGTGCCGGTAGCAGTTCCGTTGGATTATTTGATGATGAAATGGATACCTACCTGACCATGACCATGACCATGTACTGTACGTACTGTACTACCAGACCTAGCTATTGGATAACAGCATATCACTATCTTGCATACGAGTCCGGAGTATAGCATAAGATCGATTCGTGGTAGCCTAGTCTCATCTTGGTATGTATACGTATACGCACACTAAAGCGTAGTTATTCTGTATCTGCAACAACTGAATCCTGCAACTGCAACCCAAGTTGGACCCTCCACCACGAAAAGAAGTATAGTGGCAAGCCGAGCCGAGCCCGGAGGACGAGTCTCTCTCTCTCTCGCCGAACCAAACCCGCCGGCAGCCCGAAGCACGGGTACTAGGCAAGCAGGCAGACACAAACACCCTAGAAAATTCTTCGAAAGCATTCGAAACGTCCCCCCCCCCCCCCCCCCCCCATCCCCCGCCACCAGCCAACCAGCTGTATTTGTCAGCCGCGGCGGAAAACAATTTCCCACGCCGAGGCCGAGGATTGTGATCTGTACCAAGAAACTGGTTATGCAACAGAACTTTCTGCAGGGTTGGGGTCCGCCACCCCCGTTCAGGCTCAGGTTCAGGTTCACGTTATCGTCATCAAGCCTAACTTAGTCTACAAGCCGAACCTACGGGGTCAAGGATGGGTAGGGATGGATGTAAGCATATGGCGTGGTGGCCAGACAGGGTCCAAGTAGCTTAGCTAGTATAGTCTAGTGCTTACCAGGCCTGACTGCCGGGTTTCCCGCGTGCAGATTATGATGGCCAAGTACCTTATGCAGGGGGGGCACTAACTAAATGTTCTTTGGCAGGGTAGTTGAGTTTAAGTTAATGGTGACCTATGCGTATTTTGGATAGTTACACCACTATCTACATAATCACGAACCAACTAGTTCATCAGACTTAGTAATCACGCTCACTAACTTAACTAACTTACCATAGAAGGGGCTCTATGTCCCGAGACGAGCACCAGAGTTCCAGCCAGGGTCAAGGGCAAGGGGCAAGGGGGGGCAACAACTGTCGAAGGTTTGAGGAGAAGTTTTGAAGCCCCATCGATGCTTGGAAATCAACATGTGGGACACGGGCACTGGGCCCCACTTCCACGGCACTGTTCCCTCACCCCCATGGAAGATTCCATATTCCTAATTCTGGGATTGATTGAGGAAACGAACGGTATAAAGGTGTTGGGGTCTTCCTTCGTTCTCTGATTCTGGGTTCTTTTTCTCCGAATAAAAGAAAAGTTCGATTGCGAATTGCGAATTGCATTGTTGCAACACTGACTTCCATACTATACTTTTCCCCTCCCACCACCAACAAAAATGACCACGAAACTCTTCCAACCCCTCCAGGTGGGCAACATGCACCTCGCCCACCGGCTGGCCATGGCCCCGATGACGCGGTTCCGCGCCGACGACGCCCACGTGCCCATGGACATGGTGGCCGAGCACTACGCCCAGCGCGCCGCAGTCCCCGGCACGCTGCTGATCACCGAAGCGACCCTGATCTCGCCGCGCGCCGGCAGCTACCGCAACGTGCCCGGCATCTACACGGAGGCGCAGATCGCGCAGTGGCGGAAGGTGACGGACGCGGTGCACGCGCGCGGCTCGTACATCTACATGCAGCTGTGGGCGCTGGGCCGCGTGGCCGACCCGGCCGCGCTGAAGGAGGACACGCAGGGGGAGGTCGACGAGGTGGTGTCGGCGAGCGCCATCGCGGCGGGGCCGGAGGCGCCGACGCCGCGGGCGCTGACCGAGGCTGAGATCCACGCCTTCATCGGGGACTACGCGCAGGCGGCCAAGAACGCCATCGCGGCGGGCTTCGACGGCGTCGAGATCCACGGCGCCAACGGGTACCTGATCGACCAGTTCAACCAGGACACGGCCAACCAGCGCACCGACGCCTGGGGCGGCAGCGTGGAGAACCGCGCGCGCTTCGCGCTCGAGGTGATCCAGGCCGTCGTCGAGGCCGTCGGCGCCGAGCGCACCGCCATCCGCTACTCGCCCTTCAGCACCTTCCAGGGCATGCGCATGCAGGACCCCAAGCCCCAGTTCAGCTATCTCGCCGAGAAGACCGCCGCGTTCAAACTGAGCTACGTCCATGTCGTCGAGCCGCGCATCCAGGGCAACACCGAGGGCGAGAGCGGCAACGACGATAGCCTGGATTTCTTCTTCCGCGCCTACGGCCATGCCGGCCCCGTCATCACGGCCGGCGGGTTTGATGCCGAGTCGGCCAAGAAGGCCGTTGACGTCGACTACAAGGACTATGATGTCGTCGTCGGCATTGGCCGCCCATGGACCGCCAACCCCGAGCTGCCCTTCAAGATCCAGCGCGGCATCCCCCTCCGCCCCTACCAGCGCGAGGTCTTCTATCTCCCCAAGGATCCCAAGGGTTACAACGACTATGAGTACAGCGAGGAGTTCAAGGCTGCCAATGTCGCTAAGGTTGCTGCTTAGAGTTTGGTGCGGGTGTGATGCATTGTACATATAGCGTTTTCTTGGTTCTACTAGGCGTTGGCAGGATGTTTTGCATAGCATAGATCGCATAGACTTGCTCGTCCACTTGATGTAATATCACTCACATTCCATGTCTCATGGATTTCCCAGAACGTCTTACATGCTGGTAGACTTTTTTTAATGCTTGTACTAATTGCATATCAGTTGATTGATGCAAGTGACTTCCCGGGGTAGTGAAGAACTCACCCTGAACTCAAGATTCTCCCTGTCGGTCAAGTCGAGAAATTCGGGGTTTTCCTGATGTTGCTCACTGCGGCCATTCTTCTCCCTGCGGCGGTTCTCGCAGATGTAATAGCACTTGAGAAGCCCCGTGAACATGATCGCCACCGAGACGGTAGCCACAATGGCGACCTTGGCGGGCATGTACTCCGGCTCGTCCTGCGTGCCGAAGGACAACGGACCCAGGATATTTCCGAGACAGAACGACATGAGCACGATCGCGTTCATCGTCACCTTCTTGGTATGCCCGGCCACATTGGCTCCCGCGATCGAGTACATCAGGGGCAGGGCGGATCCGACGCAGTTGTTTAAGTAGTTGCCCGCCAGCATCGCGCCTTTGTTGTCACTCGGTGCAAAGGCCATCAGACAGCCGCCTAGAAGACCGCAGCCCAGAATGCCCAGAACGCAAAGACATCGCTGGTCGAAGCGCCCGGCCAGGTGTGTTCCTGCAAGGATACTGATTACGCTGACCACGCCACCGGGAATGGTGAGTAACTCGGTCTCCTTGGTGGTGAAGCCAAAGTTCTTGATGATCAGCGCAGAGAAGCTGCTGATGGCGGCGTTGCTGATGTTGCTCGCTGAAACGATGATAGCGATCAGGTAGGCTTGCGGATCAGTGAATACCTCGAGGAACTGGTTCCACTTGAACTTCTTGTTCTCAATGCCGGTGCGGTTCTCGCGGAGGCGCTCGATGGCCATAATCTTCTCCTCGTGGCTAAGTCGGGAGGTCATAGGGTTGTCGGGGAAGATGACAATGACTGTGACCCCAACAGCGATGGTCAACAGTCCGAAGATCAGGAACATGATCTGCCATGAGTAGAACTCATCGGTCGTGTAGAAGAGCAGACCGTACGCAACCAAGGCTCCGACAATCGTTGCTGTGCCTGTTCCCAAGTACCACAGGCCCATACGTTTTGGTTGTTCTAGGACTCGATTAGTACATGTGGACCCAAGAATGACCGAACTCTCTACCATTTCTGCGATACCACATCGAAGTGATCAATATCAGACTAGTATCGTTAGCTCGGTAGGTTCCAACGTTGAGGAGGTCATACGCGGGTGCTACAGCGCTCTCAAAGCATCCCAGAAGCACGCGGAGAACAACAAGCCCGGCGAAATTCTTTGCAACGCAATTCAGAGTGGTCAACAGACCCCAGAGTGTGACTGGGCTAATCAGCATGGTTCGCAACTCAAGCCGCGCTACCTACCGTTCAGTCCCAAGTACTTCGCCGTTGGCAGACGCTGCATCAGATACCCGGTCGGAAGTTCGAAGAAAAGGTATGACGCGTAGAATACCAATGCCAAGTGGGGGAACTGATCCGTCCGCATCCCCGTGTCATCCAGCAGGCCCATCACCGACGCATAGTTGACTAGTCGCTCGGTCAGGCAACAGTTACAGTGGTGACATGACAAGCTGAGACTGACTTAGGATCTTATCTTGGTATTGAAGGAAATAGATCGCCCACATGAGAGGCACAATCATGCGGTCGATCTTCCGAACAAGCTGTCTCTCTTCTACCTCGGAGAACGTCGCTACTTCTCCTGTTTGGAGATACTCCAATGCTGCATCAGCTTGACGGGAAGCAATGTGGCTGTCATTCTTTGCCGTAGTGACGATTGACTTCTCAGCGTCCATCTTGATGAAGGTCAGTGCTTTCGACGAGCTGCAGGAACGATGTTGTTATCAGCGTAGGGATTGCTCATCTTGCTGCTTTTATAGCAGTCTGTCCTCTCAACCGTCTGTCCTTATCAAGCCAAGGACGATAGCACGTAAAGCTGAAGCTCCTGAAGCATTTCTCAGCATGTACTCATATCGCTGGTGGCATAGTAAGTAGCAGTGCCATGCTCCCATCAAGCGACGGCGATTTGGCAGAGATAACCCCCATTGTTGGACATGTAGTTCTCAACACCTTCCACTTGAGGCAAAGCACCACTCGAGGTAAGTAAAAGGTCATGATGAGTCAAGATTGATAGCACATGATATGCATTGACAGCTGCATCAGCTCGCCAATATGCCCCAGAGTAGAAGGTGGTATGGAGGGATGTCACCACGGCATATCAAGAGCCGATGTCACTTATCAACCCCGCACGAGGGGCTGTGTTGTGCTGCATTAGTGTCTATGTCTCTTGCGTGTTATCAGTGAGCAACTGAGCAGATGGCATCTTGACAGATATGCCGATGTGCCATGGAGATAGTCTTGCGGCATTGAGAGATAAGTCTCCAATGTCTAGATTTGAAACTTGTGAACAACAGACGCATGTCTGGACGGGTCAATATTCGGAGCGTCAGGGTTTCTACGGCGTGGATGAGTGAGAAGCTTGAAGATGGAAGCCAACGACGAGCCAATGAAGGTGGTTGTGTAATGGTGAGATGAAGTTGTAGATGAAGTTGTCACTGCAATAAGAGATCCCGTGATATTCATCTTTCACATGACTGACTGACTGACTGACTGACTGACCGACCATCCAGCTGAGGCCAGACCAAGCTTCCCAAACAGGCAAGGCCAGGCAGTACCTTGCATCTCTCGGACTGATAACTTCCTGTGACCTCCAAACCATCTCTTGAACCATCAACATAGTCGGTGAGCCCGTACTACCACCTTGGCTCACAAACTATCGAAGGGGGAAAAAGAAAAAAGAATCAATGCGCACGAACAAGTTCGATCCCAGACGACATCGTTCCTTGAATCCTTCGACAGACCGCTTCTTCCGTATACTGCAGATCTTCCACCCCACCACACACCAACCCACCCGGCGATCTTCACGAATGACGGCTTGGGAACTCGGCAACAAGCTCGCGGCTACTCACAAGTCAGTCTAGCTCGCCCATGTTGTTGCTGAGCAGCATCCAAGTTGGCATCGCGCGATAGCGCTTCAGACCCTCCACACGCGTCGGAGGGGGACAAGAGGCGAGGATCTACAGAGCACATGGGTTGACTAGAGCTCGAATCACGCTGCCCATGCATGCTACTACTGGCTTGCTGCATGAACTATGGAGTCGGCGGGTTCTCATCTGAGTTCGCGCTTCTCATGCGAACCGCAGGCTTTTTTGGAGGCGAGTGAAGACGATTCTTTTCACTCCGCTAGGACGGAGTTCTGTTTTCCTTCCTTTTCTTCTTTCTGTCCGCCACCATCCGCTTCTCCGAGAACCAACCCGACATCGGTGATATGCACTTCCAATTGTCTGTATGAAGAAGCACCCCCACCACAAGAAAAACTCTCGGTCCAAAAAATAGGAACACATGAAGCCATTCATCCTAGCAGTGAAAGACTGGAGTCAGGCAAGCCTAGAAACCCATCACACAATTGCATCATCGCAAGAGGTGGACATTTTCAAGCGGGCTCTAAACCTAAGATCCAAAGCCAAAATTGGTTATCTGGCTTATCTTGGTACTCTGGGCACAAGAACATTTTTATCCTTTTGGCGCAGGCACTATTGAACTAGGAGGCCTTCGCTAGAACTTCTGGAACCACATCTCCAGCCAGTGGCATCGAACATGCAAGGCACCCGTCGGAATCCTTGTCTCTGGCTGGGAATGGGTTGATGGTGGCGAAGCCTTCCAGATGGTATCGCGAAAGAAAAATACGGACAAGAAGGTTTTCGCTCATGCCGGGCGATAGTGGAGCCCGAGCTGCAGTCTGCTCCAGTCTTGGCTTACGTTCGATTCGTCTCTGGAAGAGCACCAAGATAATCACCACCAGAATTTCAAGGCCAAACCCCGAGGGAAAGCTCTATGTGTTGCTATCTCCGCTCCGCCGACCCGAGGTCAAACATCCCATCTTCGTCATCTTGTCAGTCGTTGTCTCATTCACGACCCATGGATGCCTACGCCGAGCTTCCCTTGTGGCGGGGTAGATTCCCCCAGCCGCAGCCCCAGAACTCCAGGTCCTCCCCGAGTCCCGGGGTTCGGTCCGTATCAGGTTGATGGGGAACCGGACACATGGAACTCTTGGTCCCGGAAGCGAGTATCGTACCATATCCCAAGTTGCTGGGTCTGTTGGTGAGAAGGAGTCAGACGATTTCCATCGTCCGAGCAGATCCGTACGCGGTCTGAATCAAGGCCACTAGTCCCGCTCTCTCGGCTACGGAAACTCAATCCAGTAAGAGACTTGAGTTTAGATACTGGACAATGGGCGGATACGGTTCTCGCTAAGTCATCAGCTATCAGATTGAAAGAATGTCTTTTTTTTCTGACCCCCGGGCGTCGATCCCCCTCACCCCGTGACCTGTTTTTGGATGATGTATCTCGAACCCAGTACAGTACATGAGTAAAAAAAAAGTAGATCCCGCCCCTCAGCGCAACGACAGACGAACAGGCCCGCACCGATACCGATAGCCAGTCCGTTTGCATACTCTGGATGCAGTCCATGTAACTTAGTGCTGGCAATCATGACAGCCGCAGATCTGCCCCAACCGACCCTACCCCAACAATACCCATACCCATCCATCATTCGGAACTCATATCTTCCCCAGACAGGTATATGGACATTCCGCCGTGCTCCGTGCTCTCCTTCAACTTACGTAGGTCAACAGATTAGGTATTTTGCTCGTGAAGATCTACGTCAATACACCATTCCTCTAAACAACCAATTCGGAACTGTATGTACAGTACATCCACAATAGCAATGAAATGACCCCCCATCCCGTCAGCCACACGGATCCCGCGGCAATTCCCCGACTTGTGGAATTGGGGTCCATTTCTCCAACCCAAAGGAAAAAAAAAAAAGCAAAAGCAAAAGGGACTCGTATATCCTCACGTGGTGTTGCTTTCTCCACTCCACTTTCCCTCAGAAGCAGTACGTACGTGTACGTAGGCATACTCCGCATCCTGTTAATGCGGGGTAAAGAGCTGACCAGTTCTTTGGATTTGCACCCCCCACAGGTGGGAAATTATGGGGTAATGCTATAAGAAGTGGACATGTATTATAGGCATTGTACTTGTGGTATACGGTCTGTGTGTAGATTATGAAAATGCAATCTCTAACTTATCCTCTGGGGTGAGATGGGGTCTTATGCCCGGGAGATTAGGGGTTTAAGAAAACGAGGGGATTGCACTGTACTACTCCGTAGGTATACTTCGTATCTGCACATGACTGGTGGCATTACTTGCATTTGCAGGTTGTGGTTGTGAGTAATAATGCTATGCTGTCGTGCATGGGTTGGGCTCCCCTGCCTGTGAGCCTTCCATCAGTACTATACGGTACTTTCTGATTGGTGGTAGGCAGTAGTCACTTGAAAGGACAATGTTGTCTATGAGTACGTACGTTAGAATGTAGGTGTATAGACCAAGCGAGCAACATCTAGCTCAACAACCAACCTATGAGTGAAGCAAAAGACCCTTACCCACCTACCTAGTAGTCAACTTACCTTCCCATAACAGTATACCTATCCATGTACGCACCTCGGAGTGGAAAACTATTTAATCTAATCGAATTGCGAATCTCACCCTTGAGCCAGACCACCCGAAAGTGAACCCCTAATCAATATCCAAGACAACTGTCAAAACAGTAGGCGCAGAAACCCTGCTCATCGATTATTACCGGGTAGGGATCGCACGGGAAGTACGGTACGGAGACCAGCTCGCTAGCTGCCTAGCTTACAGTCCGAGTCTAGCTTTCACTGCACCCTTCAAATGTAAGTCTAGTCCTCAATCTCCGGTTCCGTGGAAATTCCCACCTTCCGTGGCGGACGGCTCCGAACGACGGAGTGCATCAAATGAACATTGCTGAATTAGTATGTTATGAGACTTCAGTTTAGTAAGTAGTGGCACTGGCATCAAAGCGCCAGCTCCAGCCAGCGCCGCATCCACAGCCGCAGTTCGACTCCACCTCGGCCACCAACCATTTACACTGGTTGTACTGTATATCCACAGTGTAGACAACACAGCACCACCACTGTATCTTAGCTAATTTAGTACTGTACGGGGTACCTCACTCAGTAGCTGAGCATCCTCCTCCCGACCGAGCTTTCCCTCATAATCCTCCCTCCCAGATCCCAACTCGCTGATAATTTTCACAACCTGGAAAAAGCGAGCCGCACCGTACCTACCTCGCGAAGCACCAAAACCCAAGCAAGGGACGCCGTAATCCTCGCACGGGGGAGATGGAAATAGCAAAGAGACCCTCTTCTCTTCTCTTGGCAGCATGCATGCATCGATCGGTCCACGCGATCTCGACCCGGAGAAATACCCGAGTACGTAGTCAGTCTACTCCAAAGAAAAAGTGTGCAGGTGGACTCGGACTCGCACCAAGTGACCAACAGAGATTGGCTCATATTTCCGGAGTCAGAGCCGGGTTTTCTTGCGAATCTAGTGGTGGGACGGGAGGAGGGTGCCTTTGTACTCTGCCCACTTGGCTCGCTACTTGGCTGGCTACTTGGCTGGTCAGCGTAGCTAGAGGTGTTGACCTAGGTACTAGTTACTTCCGTGGCGTATTGCTACCGCAGGGTTTGCGAATGGTGCGGTAGGTACCAGGTACAACCGTACAGTCCTTGTTTGGAGGGGGGGGGGGGGGGGAATTCAACCGAGGAGCTAGAGTTAGCAGGAGTCTAGAAGTCTAGAAGTCTAGACAATTTTTCATAATGCGATAAAACGAAAAAGAAAAAAACTAGTTAAGGTGGACAGCGCTGCTGACACTTTCTATTCTGAAAACGATGAAGACAATTCCCAATGTTTATTGTAAGGCTCGAGGTTCGCAAGGTAAGCGAAGGGCATGCCTGCGACTCGACTGAATGTTGCTCAGGTAACAAATATGCCGCCGAATATGCTCAGGAGGTAACTGTATAGTAGGCCAGGCATGGATACGCCGGGCGGGCGTATTATTCTTCCCGCGGGAAAAGAAACCCTCGTGTTGATATGATCGAGCACACGGCTGTCAGTAAAAGAACCGAGGGGGGGAAGAATGTGCATGCTAGCTTTGTTGCGCAGCCTAATTATCAGGCAATACTACCGGTATAAGGACACCAGAAAGCAAATTAAGGGTAATTTGTTACTGATGCTATTTTATGCATGTAGCCATGCTATTGTTGATTTCGCACCCTTTGGTGTCTTTCGTTTGGGACAGCTGACGGACGGACGCTGGCAGGTGCAGACCTCCTAACTGCTTTGAAGTCCTCAGCAACTACTTGTGCAGTATTTGTACTTGGGATTGTGAAGGGTGGATCACTGATTGGACTATCATTCTGTAGTGGGTGGCTACTACTAGGTATAGCGATCGCAAAAGAGATCTCACTCCATACACTGACACGACCATCAACATCTACCTGGACAGTTCCTTGATGACCGACCGAGCAATGGCCACAGCCTGCGGTGTGGATTGCGATCCCCGAGCGGGCCTCCGGTCTGTCTGAGCTTGTTTGGACTTCCGCACGCCATGCTGCTCTGACAGTGAATTGAAGGGATAGAAAAGGGGGTCTTAGTCCTGATTCTGCGACTGCCGCCTGCCGCCTGCCGATTGATTATAACAATCAAAATTAATGAGCTGGCGGCGTTTCTGGTGGTGGTGGTGGTGGTGGTGGCCGGCAACTGGAACACGATGAGCCCGCCGAACCCGCCCGCCCGCGTGCTACTCTCTAATAAGTTTTGACCAAAGAGGGACAAAAGTCGACGAGCGCGGCAGAAACGGTCGCCGAGAGTGGAGTCTCGACCCGGTTCAAGGTTCCTTTTCCTTGCCGCAAGCACTCACCACTCGAGACAAGTACGACGGAAACGAACACACCACCAAAAAAAAGTTAATTAAGGTGGTGGATGATTCGAGTCTCCGTGGGAGAAACATATAGTCATTAGTCAAAGGTAAGACTGTCTGTGTCTGCACCCTAAACACTTACCATTGTCAATGGAACAACAACACCAGAAAAAAAAATTATCGGATGGGACCCCGATACACTAGTCTTGCCTTCGGGTGGTGTTTTAGTCTAACGGGGAAATCTCCCTTCTGGAGCCGATGGTGCACTGGTGAGACCTACTATGTACTGTACAGTAACTTCACGCCCGGAGCTTTCATTCCAACGCAGTAGAGCTGCTTGCTAAGCTGCCAAGCCTCTTAAGTTCTGATGTTGATCTTACTGTACGGAGTACTGTCCACTGTCCACCCAGAAAGACAGACTTGAGCGTTTCTGGGTTGTAGTTTGATTAGTAAAGTGTAAAGTTGGCGGACGACCGCAAACTAACTCTCTTGGTCAACCGATCGACCTCGCTGCGACAGCTGGCAGAGACGATCCGACTTTACTCTGAAATACAACCCTTACACAGACTCATAAGCTAGCTAACTAACTCATACCCGCACGTCCTATGTAAAGCAACGGACTGCATGCGATCTACCGCCATATAACTTAGCTACGCTACGGAGTACGTCCTCTATCGACAATCATACACAAGTTATGCCAGGCACACGAAAAGGATGATTAAACTAAACCCACCATCCCCTAACTATGCACCAAAGTGCCTACATCGAAATCTACTCCAGTACACTAACTGGGTTCCCTTTCGCCCCCGCCATATCTAGACCCAAACCAAGCAAGCCCTCTCGGTCTCAAGACTCGGGAAGTACGGTACCTAGTCTCCGTAGACTGCAGTCGACGTGGTATGTATGGTTCGGGGAGCCGATCCACCACTGCAGCTCTAGCACACACAAGAAATTGACAGTCTAGCAAACAGTAGCAACCTACCAGAAAACTTGACACTCGACCGGCTAAGACAGTAGCAGTTAAAGTCACCGAGAGTATCCGTACCGTAGTGGCCCAAAAAAAAGGCCCCGCCGCAGTTGCAGCACCACCACTCAGTCTCTCTTGGTCTTAAGTCTGAAGCCTGCATCCTTCGCCGCGGTCCATAGCTACCTAGCCTAGCCATTAGCAAGGGAAGGGACCCAATTAACCGCATTAGCCAGCATTTTAGCCTGTGGGCGAGAGGGGGCGCGCCGGACCCGGGGCGGTTCAAGCGCAGGTACAAAACTGCAGTGAACTGTACAGTAACTTAACAATAGTTGCAAGATTTTCCGGCACAAGATCTTTGTCTCCAGCTGCGACTGTGAAGTGCATAACGGGTACCATCTTGCCTGTTCGGACGGAAGGGACACACCAAAAAGTTCTGGTTCGGGAAACCCTTGCCCGCCACCACCGTCGCAATTATGGACCAAATCTTCGCGTTGATGGAAGTAACCTGGTTGGTACCTTGGATTGAGAAATGCCATGGTTAAAACCCCATCAGCCCCATCCGAAGGACCCAAGGGACGAACGAGTCTTAGGATCTGGTGGGATCAATTTGAGGGTGAAGGGATATCAGCGCACTCACCAGTGTCACCACTCGGCAATATTGTCAAGCTGTGCAGCTTCCGGGAGGATGGTCTGCTTAACTGCTCAGTACGAACTAGTTAAAGAAAGTAGATTATTAATAAGTGGACTTTTTTGCGTGCGTAAGTGGTTTCTTTTCCAGGGTCCTAGCCGCCCGTCGGAGTCTAACGTAGTACAGTACACAAAGTAGACTAATAGCAGGAATTTAGATTGAGGCATAAATTGGTGGACATTTGGGCGACCATCCATCCCCATCAGATGTGTCTGACTTTTGGGGACTTCTCCAGAGAGGGAAAACCTTCCAAACAAAGGCCGCTAATTGTGTCCTGATCACCAAAGTCAGAAGCACTCCGCATTCCGCATCGAGCGGGAATCTGGGACTTCTCCAGACCCCATGGGCGGGCTGAGAGAGGAGGGAAAGATTGGTAGGTAGACAAAAAGATGGCATGCAACTGGAGCAACTGGGACAACTGGAGATATCTCCGGTGCGTCCGTCTATCCGTTACAATACCGTACCAGTCATGTCATCTTAATGTCATCCGGCGGGGAGGAGGCCGCCTGCCAATGGCCATGCCGGTGGCCCTGAGTTTGGGGTGGTGATTGGTGCAATCTCCGGACCTCGGGCGCTTCTTAGGGCTCCACCCACGCCTCCAGGCTTGGTTTCCCCAGGCATGAAAAGTCAATCGGTATTAGAGCTGTAAGGTTGGGAAAATCCCTTCCAACCTTTTTTTTTTTTGTTTTTTTGCCTGCGCTCTTTCTCTCTCTCAACCTGGACGAATGGAAGCCTAAATTTTCCCCTTCATCCTGACCCTGCATTGGGTTTCTGTTGAGACGAGCCAGCGGTCCTTCTTCCTTCCCCCAGACCCCAGACCCCAATCCCCAATTCCCCCGCTTGCTGCCCTGCAGTTGATAGATTTTGAATTGACTGTCACCGGTTTCAATTGACGAATCTGGTCACTCTGTCGAGCACCTGTAGCAACCACACCACACATTCCCTAGAGTCAGTCCGTCGGTTTAGGCAAAGCGACAAAAGCGACATACGGGAGTGGCCCGTCAGGTGGATTCCTGCACATCGTTTTAGAAGACCAACACTAATTTGGCTCGCTCCACCCCGGCCTTCCATCACGAGCAAAGCATGATGGGTCATTGACTCGTTGTAGTAATAATACTACCGTAATAATAATATTATTAAAATCATAATAATCACAGTCACACACTGCCTAAAATTCAACGGTGAGACTTGCTCCCCCTCGAAAAAGAGACTGGCTGTCCTCCCCCTTCGAGGTCTTTCCCCAAAGATCAAAAACAGAAAAAATAAAATCAACCAAAAAATCAAAAAAAAAAATAATCACACCAAAGGGAAAGAGTCCACTTACCCAAGCTAAACTTTGCTAACGAACGGTCCTTCCTCTCCCTGGCTCCTCCCCTGCAACCTTCGCTCGTCCGTGGTGTCGCGCCCGTCCGTCCATCCAAGCACCACGCCTCGTTCCAATTCCCCCGAGGCCCTTCTTATTTCGCCTCTCCCCCTCTCATCTTCCCCTCTCATTGCTGTTATTTATTCCTCTTTTTCTCTTGCACGGTCTCAGACCTTCCCAAGAGATCTTCTTGTTCATCTGTCCAGCAGTGCTGTGTGGCTTCATATATTTCCTTTCCCCCTCCCCCTCCCCTCACCTGTTTCATCTATAATACTCTTCCTCCACCTCTCAGCCAGCTGAGCTATCTTGATTTTCTCCTCGAGATCAATTGATACCCCCTTATACCTGTATAAACCATAGATTTTGGTTCAATCAATCAATCAATATGTCGGTCGAGCAAAACCCTACCTTGGAGAAGGACATCGGTCCCGAGACCGAGAGCAACGGAACTGCTCCCCTCAGGCACGAGATGACTGCGGAGGAGACGGCTAGAGCTGCTGCGCGCTTCGGCTATGGTCCGATGGCTCACGTCAACACCGCCGAGGCCAACTTGCGTCCCTTCGGAGGAGAGTTCCAGCCTGGTCTATACAAGTCGGTCGAAGGTCGCAAGTTCGCCAACCCGGCTCCTCTGGGTCTCTGCGCTTTCGCCCTCACCACTTTCGTCCTGAGCGCAGTCAACATGGGAACCCGGGGTATCTCCGCGCCCAACATCGTCGTCGGCCTGGCTTTTGGATATGGTGGTCTCGTTCAGCTGCTTGCTGGCATGTGGTATGTTGCATTCCCGTATCATCTCATCTTGAATCGTCCTCGCTCACACTGCATTTAGGGAAATGGCGGTTGGAAACACTTTCGGTGCCACTGCTCTGTCTTCTTATGGTGGTTTCTGGATCTCCTTCGCGATCATTTTGACTCCCGGTGGATTCGACATCGAGTCTGCGATTGAATCGGCTGGCGGTGCTCCGATGTTTTACAACTCGATGGGTCTCTTCCTCATGGTAAGTGCCGCAGAAAACCTGTCGCAAACCGCGAACCTCGTGCTGACTGCTGTTCCACAGGGCTGGTTCATCTTCACCACCATCATGCTGTTCTGCACCCTGCGCTCGACCGTTGCATTCTTCCTGCTGTTCTTCTTCTTGGACTTGACCTTCTTGCTCCTGGGTATTGGATACCTGCAGCGCAACGATACCAACGAGGTCAACACCCCTGTCATCAAGGCCGGTGGCTTCTTCGGCTTCCTGGCTGCTTTCGCTGCTTGGTACAACGCCCTGGCGGGTATTGCCGACAGCAGCAACAGCTTCTTCATCATCCCTGTCGCCCACTTCCCGTGGTCTCCGACCGCTCGTTCTCGCCAGAAGACTGCTCGCGAGACGGTCTAAGGGGGTGCAGTGCTCGTATAGTCCCAGGCCCTGCAAGCGGCCTCGCTATGTTCCGATGAACATGCCATTGTTATAATTCTGATACCCATTCATGTAGGACCGTCCTGTTTAGCGAATGGTTCGCAGTGTCGGCCTTCGCACCGGGTTGTTGTCCGATACATTAATTGTTTTTTGTCACTGTTGTTGATTCCAACTGGATATGGAAATAACCGATCGGGTAATAATGAGGCAGTCCGCTGTCGTGGACGATGATTTGGAGTTTTGTTTTTGATATGCACAGTTGCTCAATGAATGATTCGAATGACTATGATGGAAGTGATTTTAGCAAGTAGTTGAATTGGTGCAGGGTGTCTGACTTACTGCAGCAAGCATTACCTGCATTCATCCGTATCATGCGTGTCAGCGAGTCTGCTTGCGGCAAATGACATTCAACATACGCTTGACTCGGCGAAATATTATAGATCGAGCTTGCGGTAGGTTGTTGAAAGTGTTGTCCGGCAAAGGGAATGCTCCATCATCTCAACGCCGAGACAAGTGGCGTACCCTCATCGCGGCGTAGCAGTCAAATCGCGGTGCGTTGTTCGTCGCGACGACTCGACGAGTGGGCGGAGCACTGCGGTGACAGGTGATAGTTCGGGCGATCACCGCGCAGGCCGGGCCGAGCCTCCACTAAGCTTAAGCTTTCTGGCATGACTAGGTATGATGCCTGCCTGCCTGCTTCAAGCGGCCCCATCCAGCCTCCAGACAGCAACTGCACAAGTGTAGCACAGTCGGTAAGTTGTGAACCGATTAGTCAGTCAGTTCGTTGAATAATCAGTCCAAGTCCAGATGGCCGTAACCACAGCCCCCTATACTTTTACTAGACCCACCACGAGAAAGTAAGGTAAGTAGGTAGGTAGGCAGGGAGCGAAGCCCATTGAAGAGCGACGACGACAGCGAATTTGGACGAAAAGGAAGCTGGCACCGAGTCCATTGAGCAAGGGCCAACGGTGACCTCATGGTAGTGGTGGTGGGTAGGCCCACAGATGTAGCGTAGCAATCGAGTGATAACTGATAAGTGAGTAGGAAGAAGTAGACCTAAGTTGAGGTGGGTAGGTAAGGCTGTCCGTGCTGATCGTCCTGTCTTTTCTTGGTACTGTACTAGAGGACCTATGTTAGTCAGGTGGTTAGTTTGTATAGCAGTTTTATAGCAATTGCATAGCAAGTGTATAGCAAGAGTGAGCAAGAACCACAGCTGAGCTGGAGCGGAAGTTTTTCTAGCGGACGAAGAACTGTAAAGCTGTAAGAGAACGAAGAGTAAAAGAAGAGAGAGAGAGAGAAAGAAAACCACTCGACCCCGAAGAGACGGGGCGGGCGCCTGGGGGGATGGGGGGAGAGGGCGGCATAATAATACCCTCCCTCAGTCAACTCAATAATTCTTTTCTTTCTACTTTGCGGAAAAAGGATTCTCGGGGCAAGGTCGGAGATCGGGCGGGATTCGGTCGGGCGGAGCAAAATCGGGGAGCACCTCGAAACTTCCAATGACAGGTGCGGTGTGCCGATGCTGCCCCTGCAACTAGTCCACCCCAAGTCCGGCCTGGCGCCGCGCCCGCTCGTTTCTTCAAGACTACTCCGTACCTTTTCTACGAGGTAGATTACTTAGAGACATTTCTCTGGTCGGAAGTTGTCGGAGATGAGAGGAGGGTTCGTTTTTTCTTTGTTTTTTGTGGTTTGGAAATTGGTTGAGCATAATTCTGCTGGGGATGTGTTCATCTTCCAAGATCTTCTGGGCTCTGGTTTTTGAGGTTGTTTTCGGCTTAAGATTGGGGTTGTGACTTGGTCTAGTCCTCGAACAAGAAATGTGGCCTGAGGGATTTTTCACTCTTCCTTCTAGCCTTAATAGGCGTATGGGTGCTGCAGGAGTTTGCTCGGCGCTGCTGCGGATTGAGTTGGTTCTTGGCTGGTTTCACTGCCCATCAATCTGGGTTGCATCAATCGACGGAAGCAGACACGGGTGAACTGGTGGTATGATCCGGGATAATATTATAAACAGACATTATGCTAGCAAAAGGGGGTATGGCACAACCAAATAAATCACGACCCTGAATCATATATACCATGTCTCATCTCGTTAGTATATCATACATAGAACATGTGCATATGAAACCGACATGCTGTAAAGCCCCTATATATAAACATAAGTATCAACCCCCAGCAGAAGAAAGGACCCTTATATACACTCCGGCGATACGACCGGCATGGTGTGGAGCTCATCCCACAACTCCCGTAGCGGCTGGAGATAGGACCGGTCCACGTAGAAAAATCCCAGCAGAAGTGCGCGGAGCTCCTGCCACGATTGGATTCCTTCTTGCCTCAGCACGATTGCGAGCTCATTCACAAAGAAGGCTCGATCCGGGAGCAGGCCGGAGCTGGTGGCTCCGATGAATAGAATCCAGATCAAGACGTCGCGACACAGCTCGAAATACCCGGCTTTCATCGTCGACTCTAATGCCAGGCGAAGGTTGATGATTGGTTTGGGGAAGACCGGTGCGACAGCCGGGTAGAAACTCCAGATCACGTTGTTGTGGAATAACAAGCAAGCCAGTCGAACGCAGCCCTCGATGGTGGCATCGCCCTTGACTTCGCCGGTGGCGGTGAAGCGATCCGTATGAAGGGCGTATTCAACGTGGAGCACTTCGGTGTTGAAGTAATCCTCGGTCTCCTCGTCAAAGTCTTGGTAGCTTGGCCCACTCTTGATCCATTCGCAGTACCAGGTTAGCTCAACCAGGTCCCATATTATCTTAGACATGGCACCGCCGAAGATGCCGGGTATCTCAATTAATTGTATCAACCGCGAGGCGGTAAGCTCAAGATCTTTGCTGGGAGGCTGAAGCGCTAAATGCAGAGGACGGGCGTAACGAATGAAAGGGAATATGGGCTTGGTGGAAGCCATGCATGCGACTCGAATATCCGTCCTATATCAAGTCAGAACAGAAGCGGACAAGATGTTGGTGCAGTGGAACTGACCATGTAATCTGGAATCGAACATCAGGTGGCACGTCTGCGAAGGTGTTCCGCATACCAACCATCTGCCGCAACCCGGCAAGGTGGATCTTCAGGTAATCAGCATTGCCGGAAGCAATCTACTTTGTTAGCATCAGCTTGGTTGGGCATCGGGAGAAGGCACATACCTCAATGGTTAGGAGAATAGAGACGGCAGCGATCAATTCGTCACTGGACGCTTTGATCGGGTCAGAAAGACCTTCGTTGACCAGGCGAATTGTTTCACCTCGATGATGGAACGTATCGAGAAGTAGCGCACTGGATCGCCGCTCATTCGGGTCTCTCAGGGGCAATTCTCCTTGCGACAAAGCAGTATTGGATGCTGCGACACAGATGCAAGCATGCAACGAGGCTGGGTCCTGTTGGACTAACGCAGCCCAGTGGGCCCTTAGCTTGGGCCCATACCGGCGTTGCAGCGGGTATGATATCTGCGTCAACTCAAAGACTGCGACGACACTGTTAGGTTCATGCACACCAGATCATCGGTCAATTACACTTACAGTGTTGGAGGTGCCCCGACATGCGGTCCGTTAACACCGTATGCGAGGTATTGAAAGGGTCGCTGCCTCCCTGACCCACCAGAGTCCACGGAGATGCCACCTGCACAGGCGAAAATTCGTTCGACGTTGGCGCGTCAATGCTATAACTGTTCACGGCTGCCGCTGATACAACCGGGTAACTGCTCGCCTCCGTGACCACCAACGCATTTTGCGGTTCCTCTCGATGCCGCTGTTCGGGTGATGATGAAGCTGACGAGGAGGAGGATGGGGGAGGCGACTCGGAGGTGATTCGAGCCCCAAAAGAGGACTCAGTAACGGTTTGCTTAGGTGAGGGATTCGTGGGAGAGGCAGAGGTTGCTGCCGCCGCCGCCGAGCTGGAGGCGGTTGTCTCTACCGGTTGAAAAGCGAGGTGTTTCCAGGTCTTGCTCTTGTACCGCTTGGTGTTTTCCAGTCGCTTCTTGCGATTATGCTCGGACATCACATGAGAACGAATGCGCTTGAGAGTCTCTTCTCTGGTGCCTTCCGACACAGATTTGGGATCGGTATGCACCCAGAACAGCGTTGATTTCCCCCCCGAGGCATTGTTGGTCTTGCGCGGTTTGCGCGCCTTGGTCACTCCGTTCTTGTTTGCATCTTGGCGGGTTGAGTCTGCAGTCGGGAGGGGTGGCGCGCTGCCGTGGACCGGTGCGGAGGGTTGTGGTGGCAATGGCGGCGGTTGTTGTAGTTGATGTTGTAGTTGTTGATGTTGTTGTTGCGGTGGTAATGATGAGATCGGGGATGGTGGCAGCGGCGGCGCAGGACCCGGTACTGGACCAGGAATGGGCGTTGCGATCGAATAGGTATATGGATGATGGAGCAGGGGATAAGGATGGTTATTAATAGCAACTGGATGAACAGCGTTCGGTGTCGTCCACGCAGGTTGTTTTCCCAGCAGGGGCAGGACCTGCTCGTGGTCGGTAGCCAGAGAGCGCGCCGTTGGCTGATAGTGAGGGGAATTCTTGGCGTCCATCGCACGCGCGAATTTAATTATATAATTTCACAGATCCAGCTGATGATCTTCACCGACGCTCAACATTCTAGAACGAGCTGATCGAGACAAGCGGTGGTCAGAGCCTCTCAAGATTAGAGGGGAAGCGTGCAAAGAGTGAGAGAAGAATCCCGGGGGAGGGGGACAGAGGAAGATCAGAAGAGGAGGGAAATGCTGAGTGGTCAGCGCACTGCCCTTATCTGGAAAAGCCCATCTCTTGGTGCTTTAGTTTAGAGAGAGAAACGGGGGGGGAGGAGCTAAAAGGATTGGGGACGAAAAAGGATGACAGGAGAACGTTAGGATGAATGGTTGGGGAGACTGGTGGTGGGCTAGTCAAGCCGTGGTGGGTGAGAAAGAGAGGGAAGCGTAAAGCGAGAGGGAGGGAGTGAGTGAATGAGTGAGTGAGTGAGTGTAAGCCGGAGAGAATAATGAAAGTAAGAGGAAGAGGGGCTGCAAAGTGGAGGGGATGGCGGATGATGGCTTGCCAGGAAATAAGTCCAGTCCCTAAGAGCATAAGCTAAGCACCAATTGGGTATAATTTTAGAACTGATGGAAAATAAAAAAAATTAAAGATAAAAATAAAAAATCAAACAATCCAGGAGAAGAAAGGTTGAGGAGGGAGTTGGAAGGAAGTTCGAATGCTTGGATCCTTGTTTTGACTTCTTTTCCCCTGAACCTGAAATTGTTATGTCAATTCACATGTGTAGTAAGTAATATTCTAGACTCGGGGTTCTTCCGAACCAACTGGACATTATAGCTTAAGGTCCTCTCCAAGAGACCAACTGGAAAATCGTTCGATTGATTATTGTTTTTGACGGATGGAATCCAAACAGTCCAAAGGCGAGACGAGAGGAGACGAGACGGGAGGAAGATACTGAGACGCGCAACAGCCGTGAAAGATTGAGGATTGATTTACTTTGTCCCACGCCTGCATCCACGGATCCCTCTTGTACACAGGAAGGGGTTTTTCCGCTGCTGTCTGGTTGGGCCAAGTCGAAGCGCAGTACAACGTACTGTATGGTAGTGTAGTACTGGTGTGCACCCATCGCTGCACCTAATTAATGCTGCTGTTGCTCCTCCTCCGGCTCATGACAATACGAACTTGATCAGGAGTAGTATTCTCAACCGAAGGCTGTATTCGACCTTCGCAGACAGAGGGAAAGACACGAGGCCCAGCCCAGATCTCGGATGCTGTTGCTGCCGGAGCCCGAGTGGAGCAGCAACTTAAATTTCGACATCGGATCCCGGAATCGCTGTGGAAGTACCAAGTAGACACTTACTGGCTGGGAGTGAGTAGTAGGTCAATGAGTCAGTGAGGTAGGTATTGTTGTGTCAGTACTGACAGATGAAACGGACAGGGGATAATGGCCTGACAGGAATCTACTGAACTGTACGGAGTACGTTGATTCCAACAAAACCAGATAACAACACCAGATTATCCTCCAGGGATCCAGAGAGAGATAGCCGATGTCTCCCCTGCTCTTTCACTGTCTGGCACCTTCAGGACCGGAAGTTAAAATGTCGTGATTACTTGGAGAGGTGGTCATCGGCAATCCAGGTTTGAAATCCACGCTAAGTGAATTGATTTTTCGCTCCCGATCGGATCAGTCCGGAAGTTGGTTTTTCCATTCCGAGCCTCGATCTCCTTGCATGGGCCGCATGTGATCTATCGAGTCTGTCGGCCACAGGGAGAAGAGGGAATACGGTAGGTAGGTAACCTTGATGCTGAACACGAAGGACGAACATCTCGCACAAAGCTTCTTCTTTTCTGGTGCTTCTCGAAGACATATTGACTCACGGAGCTGTCTCAAGAACAAACCTATTGAGGTGCTACCGACGTCATTCGTGATCGCTGTTTAGTGGACGAGGTCCTTCGCCAGCTCTCAACAATATTGAACAAATTGAACAAATTGAACAAACAATCAGGCATAGTCCACCTTGCGACAGGCTAAAATCTAGCCAAGACAAGTTTGATCCACCGACCATTCCGATTGACCGCAACGGGCTGAACATGTCAATCAAAGTCCCCATTATTATTATTATTTCTTCTTGCCATGCCGGAGACCTCCGTCATTGACTTCGGGAAAGCATAACTAGCTGCTTGAGCACAACAATTATGTCACGCGCGGGAAAAAAAAAAAAAAACAAACAATCCGACTTCACCCTCAACAATCTGCACGCGATAAGCTGTTTCCAAGGCACCAAACTCGGCCTTATCCGACTACTGTCTCGCTTCTGGCTGTCTTGCAGCGATCGTCGATCGCAGAGGCCTAAGAACTCTCCCGCCGCAGACACTAGGACGGAGTAGTTAGACTAGGTGCTCAGCACACACAAACGCACGTCAGCCTTGGTTTACGGTGGTGGTTGCCCTACTCCCTTGGGGTCTATTGAGTCGACTAAGCTTGACCGCAAGATCGCACGTCCTCGCTGGAGGTCAAGTGGGTGGTGAGCTGAACAAACAACTCCTGTAGTCGTATCCCCTCCGCTCCATTCGTCTTCCATGCTTCAAACCATCGCTCTTCGCTTAATCCACAACAAAACCCCGTAACTACAGTACTACACCGACACCGTCTCGAACAGGAGTCTCATAATAAAGAAGCTGCCCGACGATGTAATCTATTCCATACACGCCTCTACCCACAGGAATCATCCCATGTCTCTCATTGACCACGGAAATACGGATTAGCTAAGAGGCTCTGCTATAGAACTTCCCTCCAATCGTTCTCTCACGCGCCCGGTGTAGAAATATGCAACCCGATAATCGATTGTTCCAGATATATTCATGCTACTGATTCTCACTAAATGGAGACAAGCGCTCCGCGTTCGAAGTTCCTCGCCTCAACTCAGCACGGAGTAGAACCTACTTTCATCGACACGCATACATAGCACGTAAGACTTATGTAGATAATAGCCCGTAAGAAGTAAGAAACTCCTCCGCTGTGGGTCGCCAGAGTTTTTTCCCTCTGACTCTGCCATCTATTTTCTTCGAGGTTATTTTCCTATTTTTCTATGGGTAGACTTGCAGAAAAGCGAGAGACGGGGAAGAGAAGACAGCTTCCTCCGCTCATCCTTGTTTCCGACCCAGCTATGAGTATATAGACGGGTTGTATACATGCACATCATCCCCTCCCTCAAACTCTGGACGAAAGTCAAACACAATCACCGCTAGACCGTCAGATCCGATCCTCGGGCTTTACCAGGTAGTGTTCTTCTCTAACGTAGAGCCAAGAATCAACCCAATCCTCCATTCTCTTGCATATCACGGAGTTACGTATGTAGTAATGTAGTAACCAAAATTCTCCCGATTTTCTTCCCGAGCGGAACGAGCCGATTCTGGCTGGGACGGCCGGTCCACAATTAAGGAGTTTTTCTCGACTCTCTCGCTCCGTAGAGTCGAATCATAATCATCAACCTGAACCTACGAGCTGGGGCTGGGGCTGGGGCTGGGCACCTCCCCTCTCCTCCACTTCTGCGTCCTGTCTTGATTGCTCCTTCTTTTCTGCTAGTCGGGTCTTCAGGTTCCCCTTTTACGTTAGCAGTCTTGACGGCGGTCTAGGCTCAAGGGGGTAATTATGTACGAGCACTAAGTATGATTCTTGGGTTGTATGTGCTCTGTACGTCGAGTCGGCTTACCGGGTGCGTGGGTTCCGGATGTATAGCTGTGTATCAGGAAATGGGATTCTTCGATGAAGCCTGGATGCCTTCGCTTGAGAGGGGTGGACAATACTGAGTATGTCCATTTGATTGAGCGCTTTCATCTTTGATTTCTAAGTGGCAGTCGCCGCTCATAATACAATCGCAATTTACACGTTTGATTTATATGTTCTCCTGAACGCTAACACTGCTCGGTATAGCTAGGTAGGTATCAATACAGGATCAAATTGAAGCAGTCGCGCCCGCGCTGCGAGCTCACCATCCTCAAGCCCGTACGTACGTAGGGCAGGGGAGTGAAACAGAATGGCAAATGCATCGAAGCAGTCAATAATGACAAGTATTAAGTGAGCCAAGGGGTACTGGGTGGTAAGGTCGACAAGGAACGACACTACCGACACACAAGATAACGATTAGGTCCGCCGTCCGCAAGCAGCAGCGACAGAAATCTTTCTATCTACAAATATTCTCTCTCCCCACCATTCCGTATCTACATACCCGGTCGCGGGAAGATAGGGACCGTGTCCAATTGCTCCAATCCACCCATTGTGCCTTGCTGGCCACCAACATGCCACCCCTGGCCGGTTTGTTGGTTCACAAAGGCACTTTGGCGGAATGGATTGGTGCTTCCCGTGGGGTTTGGCCGGAGAGGTGCCGCCGCGGGAGGCTGTAGCCCCTGCGATTGCTGGGGTGGTACGGAGGAGCTGCGGGCAAAAGGGTTGGTTCCCGTGCGCTGCGCTTGAAGCGGCGCTGCCTGTTGCACCTGAGCCTGTGGTTGCGCCTGTGCCGGTGCGAACGCCTCAAGACCACCAGTGTTGAATTGCGGGCTCGCTGACGAAAGCCGCCGTGCGAACGGGTTGGTATTCTGGCGGTCAAGTGGGGCGGCCGATCCGGTCGGCGTGCTCATCAACATCGACTGTCTGAACGGGTTGGTGGATTGGGGCTGCAGGAGGTGTGGTTGAGCCCCCGGCGCCAGTTGCTGTTGCTGCTGCGGCTGCTGTTGCTGCGGCGGGAATGCAGTAACATCGTTTTGCGGGATCGGAGCCAGGTTAGGTTGGTAACCATAGTTTTGGGGCTGCGCTGAGTAGCCACCAAAGCCGGCCCCGGTGTGGTCGGGCTGGAGAGGCTGTGGAACTTGTGGTTGGTTGAATTGCTGAGTCTGCGAAGTGAATTGAGGCCCAAATGGCGATGACTGTTGGCCAAAACCCGTCAGTTGTGGTTGTTGCTGCATCTGCTGCTGTGGAAAGCCGGTCTGCTGTGCATGAAATGGCTGCTGCTGTGGTTGAAAGCCTGCTTGTTGGAACTGCATGGCCTGCGGCGGCTGCTGGAACTGTTGCTGTTGGTACGCGTTTTGCTGTGCCATCGGCTGCTGGTTTTGCTCGATCGAGTCAAAGAAGTCGATCAAATCTACCGGGTTCGATTTCGCTTGAGCTTGCGGATTGGGCTGTGTCTGTGGCCGAGCCGAAGGCGAGGCTGCGTGGTTAACGGCGTGGTCACCGGTGGCATTTTTGGGCACAGAGGATGGTGTCCCAACACTCTTGCCCTGTTTACGAGCAAGGTACTCGCGGCGGCGGAGATTGAAATCGGGGTCGTTCAAATCGTCCTCAAGAAGCCGAGTCAGATCAGTAGAAGCATGCTTCAGCTTAGGGATTTCCAGACGCGTCGCGGATTGGAAATGCCGAGCTACGCCGAGAAACTTGACCACTTCTTCCGTCTGCTGGGTAAATGTTTTATAGATCTCCAGCGCACGTTCACTGTCGGGACGTGACATCTCAAAGTAGTGTTCTAGTCGCATGTAAGGATTGTGCGATCCAGATGACAGTAAGAGACACTTACCCAGGACATTTATCGTTCCCTCGTTCATGACCGAGTAAAGCGTCAACAGATCCAACGTGAGCAGACGAAACGCGGTCAATGAGATCTCGTTCTCAACATCGTCCGTTAGAAGCTGAAGCCTGGTCAGTCGTAATTCCACGATTGCGACAAAGGTTATGGGTAACAAACGTCACATCTGAGCAACGCTCGGATCTGTCTTTGAACAATCTCGGTTTCTCTCAGAAGGCCTTTCTCAACCGTCAGGCGCTTCATCCGGCCCTGGCCGCTTCGCACGTAGTCGGTCTTGGTGGACTCGAAGGCCTTTGCGCGCGCCAGGAGATACTCGGAATATCTCCGGATGTTATGGCCCTGCGACTGGACTACACCCAGGCCTAAAATTTAGCGACCCTCATATCCCTCTCTTGCACTGAAAGCTGCTCACCTTCTGAAAATCCACTGATTGCCAACTTTTGGGGGTTCTCTGCCATGTACTGCAACGTGGCGTCCAATTGACCCTCCCTGATCATGAGGTGGATCACAATCAGAGCCTTGAAGACGATTGTCCATGTTGAGTCGCGGAGACGGAGCTGCAAGGTCCGGAAAATCTCTGCCACACCTGCTTCGCCTGTATGCGTCGCGACCAGGATATGTTCGATGTACTTGGATTTGGGGGCGGCGAGCTGTCGAAGAGCACGGCCATTAGCATGTGCGCAGATCGCCTCAGGGCAGCCATCATCGTCCCTTGACTCACCTTGACCTTGGTAGCCCCCTTCACCGACTTCTCAAAGTTATGGGACATGCTGAAGAATGGGAGTTGAGTGATGCAATGGCAGTGGAGCGGAGATAAGAATCAGGGGCGGCACCGTGGCTTCGATGTCGAAATATTGGGGAGGGGGTAGCAAGGACTGAAGTGGTTGGAGGTAGTAGTTATATCAAGTGTCTATAAGAGTCGAGTGCCAATTGATCTATCCACGCCAATGCTAATAATAATCATGATCACTCAAGTAGTCATACTGTGGAACCTTTATTGAGGATGATGCCTAACGCGGTCTGTCGATGACGAAGTGGGGACGGAAAGGGATCCCAGATGGCAATCGGTACGATCGGGTTGAAGCGAAAACCCTATCGGACTCAAAGCCCGGAGAGACAGCGGGGGGTTGTGGAATAACTGGAGAGAAAGAATGCGGGGGGGGGGAAGAGGGGAGAAGAGGGGAGGAAAGGAAGAATCCCGGCTGAAGGTGGAAGAGGGAGCTTTGAGGCCCGTCGGGGATGATGACCGGGCGTTGCGGTGGAGTGGAGCTGCGCTTGGTCGCCTTAGGCTGAGAACTGCCTAGTGCGGGTTCGGCCGGTTCGATGTCTTTGACAAAGCCTTTGGTAAGTTATGCTTGCTGCACGTCACAGCTGCTGCAGCCCTTCGAGAAGGTTTGACAACTTCCTCATATGAACTACAATAACATCAAGTACTGAAGTCTTACCCACAATATACTTCTTGTATTCTCAGAGCGGCTTTCAGCCTCAGTCCGCTGAATTGGTCAAAAGTGATAGGTCATAACTCTGCTCGGGTACCGTGACATTTATATAGTTCATTGTCCGTTCTATAATGAAAGAGCACGATGCAGCAAATGAAAGCCTAGTACCTACACTGAAATGCTCCTTCTTTCGTAGATCAAGTAGCCTTCTCTTTTCTTTTTGGTGTTTCATGCCCTGCTCTCAGGGCTAGTAACACAAAGTGAGTTTTGAGTAAAACGTGGTCACACTCAGCACTCGCCTACGGAGGCCAAAGGTATTCCTCAAGTGACATTTACTCAGTCTACTCCACAAATCTAGATTGCTCTATCTGTCGAAGACCTTGCAGTGAGCCTGGCCTCTCATTTGAAGGTGTTGCTTCTATCCCCTTTCGTCTCATACTCCTTGCCCCCCAGTCCCCAACCTTACCCACTCATTGCTCACATTGCACTATCCCTGACCTCAATTGGCTCAGATGGCCTTATCAGGAGGACTGAACTTTACAGCAACGGAGCCTCTGATTAGCTGGGATTCGGAGAAAAGAAAATTTCTCTGTTGTTTGTATCGATTCTGGGATCGGGATATCAACGCTTACAAGGCAGTATTCGACGCCGTCTATCGAGACGATTTGAGAAACGCAGGCTTTAGAGATGGTGCTCCCAAAGAAAGACTTCGCGGGCAATGGCACCACTTGAAGTCAAGAGTACTCCCGGACTGGGTTGACATTCATCTGTCTCCCTTCGATAAAGATGGACGGTGGGCGCCCTTCATTGCGACCATCCGCAGGACTTTGAGATCCTTAGATATACGCCTCAGGGAGAATACGGTGGATCCCATCGATGCTGCTACTTACGAACGTGCAATGCACACACTCAGCCGCAGGACCTCGGTGAGTCTAAGCCTCTTTGCATGCATGCAATTGGCACTGATATGTGATTCTAGAGTCAGACCCAGGCACAGGACGACACAGACATGGCGGTTGACACTGAGGGAGTGGATGAAGTCGTTGACGAGTATATCACCCACGAGATCGAGGAGAAACCGGCCGATGTCTCTGTGCATGAGGACAGGACCCTTTGCAAATACGGGGACAAAGAGTGTTTCTGGTGTGTACAGGAGCGCATCATGGAGGTAACTCTGATCTGCAAGACACATGATTCAGGAGAAGTCTGACGAAGAGGCGCTCAGATCACAAATAGACGAGGAAATACAAGACTGAGAGAAGACGGCATACCGCCAGTACTGTATCGGTGGTCGAATGTCGACTCGCAGGGCATCAACACGAAGAATCTCTTGGTTGCGGGTCTCTTCGATGATTGGGACAGGTACTTCTCACCGAACACAATACGACCAGAGAAGTTCGTGGAGTATTTCCGGAAGCATGTTCATAGAGAGGAGGTTCCATCCCCATTCATCTCGACGTTCATGTCCATGCTCTCGCCCGTGCACCGTGCCATACGGAACAAAGAAGGTGCTCTCATTTCCGTGATTGATACCAAGGGGCTTGACTTTGTGTACTCAGCCAGGGATTTGTTCAGGACACACAAAGTCCGGGTAGGAAAGAGCTTTTACAACGGCGCCGGGGAGTTTTTGATTTGGGGGAAAGTCCCCTCCTCTAACATAATCTGTTCCTTTAAAGTCAGCACATTGGAACAGATTGCAGACGAGCACAAAGATATTGCTGAACTCCTTCAGCTCGACACCATTGCGACGTATAAGTGTAATCGACATGCGTTGAAAGCTGCGCTTTCACAGCGAGGGCATTATTCCGATCACACATCTGGCAACATCATTGGAAAGCTCCTGTCTCTACTTCAAGTTCGATATGAGTATAGTGATGAAATCGGACGAGGCATGTTCTATTCCTGGCGTCTTCGGTATCTCTGGCGTCTTCGGAAATCCGACAATCCCGGGGAAGCATTTTACGAGGGTATACGTACAGGATATGGTCTTTCGCCTGAGACCCCAATGACTGCAGATGAACACCAGCATCGGGAGGTCTATGTTATCTCAGACGACGAAGATGACGACGACGACGACGACGACGAATCAGTCACTGAGGCCGGACTCAGTGAGGACGAAGACAATGAGCGAAGCCCGGCTTCTGTAGACGATTTCAGCTATGTCGTCGTCCGGCGTGGCTCCCATGGGTCTCACAATCATGAACAGACCGAGGCCAATGGCGAAATGATGCACGTTGAAACCCAGTGTAGTAGCTACCCTTCTTCTCCACCTTGCTATGGGGACCAGAACGAGACTCGTCCTTCTCGTGACTCATTCGATCAAGACGACCGACACAGTGCTGCTGACGATGACTCTTATGTTCTGTGCAATTCCGACATCCTCCGATCGCATACACCTCGCATCGATAACGAGGAAGAGACCGAGGAAGAAGATGACGACGATGAAGCAATTGTTAAATGGCCAAGACGAAACCGCCGCTCGTACCCAGCCATCGAGACTTGGGACGCATATACCGGTCGGTGGATCGCCCAGCAGGATGGCATCTCGCGTCAGGGGAAAGGGCTCCCACCAAGAGATGTGTCTGGTGCGCGGAGATTGTTTGAAAGTTTCGATGCGGGAAGTTGCGTCTCGCTTGTGTCTGAGGAGTCGGATCTGGTTGCTACAGATTCCGTTATCGCGGCCATGTGCGACAACATGGAGGTAGACACAGAACCAAACGTGGTAAGAAATAGAGGTACGGAAAACATTGACTGGCAATACCAGTTTTCTCTGGACAGAGCGCGCCAGAGGATGATCCTGGGTTGATGCTACTCGATGGCCTATCTCCGTGTACTCTCGTTATGCTTGTGTGGACTTCGACTTATCTCCGGGCAATGAGATGAAGGGGAAGATGATTGGGAAGAAAAACTGATTCGTCTACGAAACGTTTGCAACTGGGGGTGGATGATGTGCGTGTGCTCGAGGTACTAGGTATGAGTGGGAAGTGCCTATTTGAGAACTCTTTACCTCAATGTTAAGGTGGTGGACGAGAATTTGAACAAATGTAACACAAGGAGCTGTTTGGCAGTACTTATGCTAAAGCACACTTTTGAGATGACCGTTGATCGTAGACAAATCCACCCTAACTCCGTTTCTCGTCCAGAAAAATTTGTAGGTAGAATTCGAAGAATGCGCCTCACATTTCAATGCTCAATCCGTGTAGTATTCAAAGTGGAACCTAGGGACAGGCCCGAGCCGTGCCCAAGCGTGTTGCACGGTGGACTGCCATTAAGGAGAATCAAAAGAATTTTTTCATTGGATATTCTTTCTCAAGGGTACCTGGGACATGAAATCGTGAAACAATCCCAACCCGTTTAACTAATCCATTGTATATCCAGTCACGCCGCAGCCCTAGGTTATTTTCCTCTCGAAAACACTTCCTCATCGACACGCTTAGAACTTGCTGAAAGCCTTGACGGCCTTACCGGTGCGGGGAAGGACACGGAGGACGTTGAAGCGGACCTGTAGGTCAACATGTTAGATGGTGCGCGGAAGGGATTGGGCCTGGGTCTTCTCAAGAGCATTGTAATGGCTTTGTCGCATCCCATCGGTTGATCAAGGACAAAGCCATACTACCCCTGACAGATCCCAGGAAAGATATTGGCGGAATCGAGGCAACGTACAGTCTTGGAAAGGGGACGGCACTGGCCGACGGTAACCCAGTCACCCTCCTCAACACGGAAAGCGGGAGAAACGTGGGCAGCAAGGTTCTTGTGGCGCTTCTCGTAACGGTTGTACTTGGGGACGTAGTGGAGGTATTCACGGCGGATGACAATGGTGCGGTGCATCTTGGTGGAGACGACACGGCCGGTCAGGATACGACCACGGATGGAGACCAGACCGGTGAAGGGGCACTTCTTGTCTGTTCTTGATGTTAGCGACCTGTTGCTCTCTCTCCCCCTTCCTGCAGTGTCTGGAGATGTTTCCCCGAGCCCTTGAAGATGAGAATGTCCAGATCTTGAATTAAAGAATTTCGTCAAGCACTCCATTGTCGACGGTCCACGATATCAAATCCTTCCGCAATTTGAAAATCAAGGATCCCTCCTCTTGCGCCAAATCATCGTGTCGTGACCAAAGTCGTATGTATTGCGCTTCCGATTGTCAAATCCCTGGTGGCAAGGCTCATCTTCAAGGACCCTGAAACTTTCCCCGTGCTTTGCCGCAAAAAAATCGAAATCTGATCACTCCGCAGAGATTTGGTGTAGGTCGTGCATACCGATGTAGGTGCCCTCAATGGCGGTCTTGGGGGTACGGAAACCCAGACCGACATCCTTGTACCATCTGCGGCCGGAGGCAACCTTCTTGCTCTTCGCAATGGTCTTGGGGTTGACGAAGATGTGAGGCTGCTTCTGGAACGCACGTTCCGACTGGACGGTCAACTCGGTGGCCATTTTTGCGATATGTTCAGTCCGACGAGGAAGCGAAGTCGAGCTGGGTTGTCGCGAAGGGGGGGGTGTCGGGGCGTGCGGTGGTCGACGTCGATGATGGAGAAGATTTATTCAAGATGGCGGATATTCGCCGTGTGAGTGTGCGATGGGGGCGCTAGTCCTCTTTGAGACTCGGCTAGGGCTTTCCGTTTTTGGTTTGTTTACATCCGCTCGATCACATGAGCGGCCTGGCCGGGAGACGCGCCCGCCGGAGGAAGATTAAGAGGAAAGCGGTGAACTTGGTTTGTTGTTTGTTGCTTTCAATTAGTTAACTGCCTTGCCCGCCGCAACACCGGACGATAACTTACTAACTTAACCAGCGACAACCATCGATCGTTATTGCGCCATTCAACAAACTATGATCTTGCATTTCTGATATCAACAGGATCTGCATACGACAAATATCTGAACTTACATCTCCCCCCCAGTCTATGTCCGCTCCAGCGTGAACCCATGGCGTCCAGAAGTGACTCCGCGGGGTCTCTGCGCCCGCGAGCCCGTCGCTCTCTTGCTCATATCCCGCGGTCGAGACTGACCTCCACCCTCGACCAAGAAAATGCGACGACGGATATCAGCTCCTCTCAACCGCTTGATGGACGCCCCAAACCCATGGCTAGAGACAAAAAGTCTCGTAGCAAAAGCTTAGGCCCTGGTGGTCTAGATGCGCTTCAGGACTCCAACGGTAATCGCCGCAAGGTACTTGGTGCCCCCCTATCCCTCAATCACCACGTGTATCTTGCTTACAAAGTAACTGTTTGCTGTCGCGTAGTCCACAGCAGCATTCCCCTTGAAGTCCATTCTCAAACCAACTGTTCCCGTCTCGCCCGTGCGCACTATTCCTACATTTGAAGAAACACGCAAACGGACGCCGGCCCGTGGATCGCAGCCGAGTGTCAGCAATGAAACCAATACCCAGAGCGATGAAGGCCTCCTAATCGACCTTGATACTCCAGCGCCCGCTTCGAATAATTCCGAAGACCGATCCAACCCTTTCGACAGCTTCAACGCTGCATCCATTCGGGATGAGATGGCCGCCGCAAGGGAAAAGGAAGAGAAGGAGCAGCGGGAGCGGGAGCGGAAGATGATCCTTGAGAAGAGGGAGGCACGTCGGAAGTCAATGGGTTTGTCACCTTGATTTCTGCGCAATCTATATGTCGCTGACCCAACATCACAGCAAACCGCCGTGTCTCATTCGCCCCCGAAGCCACATTGCACACTTGGAATGTGGTAGAAATACCCGACGACTCGACTTCATCATCTGCTGCGAACTCGACACGGCGCGCTTCATCAATAGCCGGAGCTGGAAACCAGAACCCTGCTCCCCAAGCCGAACAAGCCGAACAAGCCGAATCGCGATCCTCTCCCGACCCATACGCAGAGTCAGATGCCGGCTTCTCGCCCGTGCAGTATCCAGACCTGCAGCAACTCCAAAGCCAGTCAACCAACGGAAGCTACGATGAATCGCAGGAGATGTTCTCAAGCCCCTTCAGCGGAAGTTCAGCCGACGGGACTGAAGATCTTGGACTCCAGAGAGAGGACGACGACGATGACGACAATTCATCGACTTCTGGATACGACGGAGAAAGCACCGCAATGAGCTTGGATGACATGTCAGTTCACTCTCCAGCCTCAGTTCATTCTGATGGTTCCGATGCCACCACTGGCAGTGCTCGCTTGAACGAAGCTTTGCGGCAAGCGGCTCGAGAAGCTGGAACTCGTGACTTTGAGGACGATGATGGAGACATGTCTATGGAAATCGCAGATCAGGAGATTACAGGTGCTTTTCAGCCTTGGATCAAGAAGGGCCAACGTGAGAGTTTTGATTGGGCAGATATCAGCGCTCGGTATGATCAAGAGAATGATCCGCCTTCTGAACCCATGCTCGATGCTCCTCCGACTGCAGATGACGAGGATGATGCTATTGATGAGGATCTTAGTATGGAGGTCACCAATGCAATTGGCCGAATTCTCCCCAACCAAGCGAGTCGACGCAGGAGTGAAGCGCGCCGCAAGTCTCTTAGCGAGGAGACTAACTATGAAGAACAGACCATGGAATTCACTAATGTCGTGGGAGGTATTGCACAGCCTGTTTCTCCTGCGAAGTCCATAGGGGCGGAAAGTAGAAACGGAGATGAAGAGATGACTATGGAATTCACATCCGTTGTCGGAGGCCTTTTGAACAGTCTTGGCGTCGCCAACAATGCAGATGAGAACGACTATGATGATCAACAAGAAGCCTTCGCTTCAGGTGAAAACGACCGTGTCTTGTCTGAATGGGAGAATGGGAATGACATGGATGATGGTATGGATATGGAGATTACTGGAGCTATCGGTGGCATTATCCCTGGTACTCAGGAGAGCATTGCAGCCGAAGATGACGACCAAACTGCAGGCATGGATATGACTGCTGCTGTTGGAAAGATTCTAGAACCAGAGCCAGAACAAGAACAAGAACCACCGGAACCGGATGAAGACCGAGTGACCCCGGAACCCAAGCCGGCTCAACTGGGTAGTTCGCCATTTCAAGAGACCGTACGGCAGTCTCCTAATAAGTCACCCGCTAAGTCGCCAACCAAGTCACCTGCCAAGTCACCTGCCAAGTCACCTGCCAAGTCGCCTTCCAAGTCGCCGGCCAAATCACCAGCGAAGTCGCCAGCCAAGTCGCAAGTCGAACCTTCTTCCAAATCACCCGTCTCGTTTCATGTTGCAGCTGTGGCATCAGAAAGTGGAAGCCCTAGCTTGGCAAGTGTACGGGCCCGACGAACGAGGCAAAGCTTGACCCATCCGGCGCCCACTACACCCACTCCACAAACCCCACAGGTAGCTCGACCGAAGGATATGGTCTCTCCTCCCAGTCCATCCACGCCGACAGGCAATGCACCCTCGAACACACACACAACGACCCCTTCCAGAGATGCAGGTACAGAAAATGCATCACCACAGAAGCTGTCCCAGCCAGAAGTACAAGAATCCGCAAGTAATACATCCCCCAGGCGCAAGAGTCTGTTTGGGGAGAGCGTCAATGGACAACCGGCTCCTCTTTTTGTCTTGCAACCCCATGGGAAGAGGCGGTCCTCTGGTCTCGGTATCGACAAAGAGGGGCTTGGATCGCCTCGAGTCGCTGCTATGCTGGATAAGCGCCGGTCCATTGGTGAAGAAGCACCCGAGTTTGTTCCACAGGAGCAATCAAAACAGGGTGTACGCTTCGAAGATCCCGTGAAGCTTCAGGAGGAGGTAGATCGTGAACGCGAAGAGGAGGTGAACAGAGAAGATGGCTTCATCTCGCCTCCAAAACTGAACGACAGGGATCCCACCGCAAGCTTGAAGGATATGATTTCGAGCTTGACACCCAAGAAGAATAAGCTTCGTGGTAGAAAGAGCTTGCATGTTGGGGCCGCCCTTGGCCTGCTGGGTAAAAGACCAGTCGAGTTGGATTTGGACGACGACGACGCGGATTCTGATCACACGCCAAAGCGCCTACGAGGCCGCGAGACTAGCAGCCCAGTGAAGAAGTTCAAGCTCCCAGCCCATTCGACCAACAGTGATACTTTTGGACGTGGATTCCAGTCTCCCCTTAAGACCATCAGTGCACAATCTCCTCTCAAATCTGTGTCAACGCCAACACAGAACTCTAAGACTATCAGTGCTACCACGAGTCCTGTCAAAGATAACTCAGACACAGCATCTAACACAGAATCAACTGAAGTGCAAGATGCGCCTGTACAAGATGCGCCTGTAGAAGATGCTGGCCCGGAGGTCGAGCCTATACAGTTGCAGGAATTCCTCAACATGACCAACATCCACTTCATGGAACTCACAACCACGAAAAGAAGGCATACTACTGCCCCAGACAGCGCTCGGAAACGGAATCTTCGACTTTCTAGTGAGAACGAGGCTAGAAGCCCCGCGAGCTTCGAAGAGTGCGTAGCTGCTGGCTTCTGCACCGTGCCTATGCTTGAGTTGTTTCAGCATGTAAGTTCTTCTCAGGCTCAGTATTTGTGCACCACTGACGTGTTTCTAGTCTTGTCGAGAGTTGAAGTCGTATATAAATGAAGGCAGACAGGTGATCCGGTCTATTGAGACCGAGACTCTTGCCGATAATCCGCCACTGTTCCGCGAATATATGACCGCTCCACCGGACATTCGCTTGCTGATGGACAATCAATTCAGAAATGTTAAGTCTCATGCTCGCCTACTCAGTAAGGCTACATGGTATGAGTGGCGCATGAAACTGCTGGAGGGACTTCGGGATGGCCTCAACCGTCACGTGCAAGAAATGAAAGCAGACGATGAACTCCTTGCTAAGCATGAGACCCTTCTGAGCGATACAGTGCCCGCTCTCATCGAGAAACACTCTTCTCTTGAGGTGGAAGCCACGACACTGCAGCAACTAGCAGACGAGCTTGAGAACTGTGACCAAGATGAGCTGCGCAGCGCGCGGGAAAAGCTTGCGGGCGTCGAGGACGAGATCGCGCAGAAAAAGAAGCTCCTACAGGAGATGCAGGCCGAACTCGAGGATAAGACTAACATCGTCGAAACCGGCACCGAGGTCAAGGCCGAGTACATGGCTCAGATCCAGGAAGCCGAACGAGTCAAGGCGCAATGTCGCGGCTGGAGCGCGCAAGAAATCAGCGAACTAAAAGATTCAGTCCGCAACATCGAGCGTCAAACCGGCTGGAGCATCGTATCTGCCACCGCATCGGACGGTTCCACCCCGGCCGGCCCAGCAGTGACCATGTCCTACCGACACCAGCTGCAACTCACCTTCCACCCTGCGTGCTTCCTCATCAATAACAACAGTACCTCCACCACTCCCAACGACCAGGCCACCAACGCACCTGTCACGCTCAAATACGCCCCCACTACCACCATCACGACGAAACCCAACCATACCACCACTCCACACCTATCCGCCGTCACCCTCCTGGTCCTGAAATCCCTCCAAACCCACCTCACCTCCATCC